ATTATTAGGAAATGGAAGACATACAAGACCACTGATAATCTCCCTCGATCTGGGGCTCCACGCAAGATCTCACCCCGTGGGGTCAAAATGATCACAAGAACGGTGAGCAAAAATCCCAGAACCACACGGGGGGACCTAGTGAATGACCTGCAGAGAGCTGGGACCAAAGTAACAAAGCCTACCATCAGTAACACACTACGCCGCGAGGGACTCAAATCCTGCAGTGCCAGACGTGTCCCCCTGCTTAAGCCAGTACATGTCCAGGCCCGTCTGAAGTTTGCTAGAGTGCATTTGGATGATTCAGAAGAGGATTGGGAGAATGTCATATGGTCAGATGAAAACAAAATATAACTTTTTGGTAAAAACTCAACTCGTCGTGTTTGGAGGACAAAGAATGCTGAGTTGCATCCAAAGAACACCATACCTACTGTGAAGCATGGGGGTGGAAACATCATGCTTTGGGGCTGTTTTTCTGCAAAGGGACCAGGACGACTGATCCGTGTAAAGGAAAGAATGAATGGGGCCATGTATCGTGAGATTTTGATTGAAAACCTCCTTCCATCAGCAAGGGCATTGAAGATGAAACGTGGCTGGGTCTTTCAGCATGACAATGATCCCAAACACACCGCCCGGGCAATGAAGGAGAGGCTTCGTAAGAAGCATTTCAAGGTCCTGGAGTGGCCTAGCCAGTCTCCAAATCTCAACCCCATAGAAAATCTTTGGAGGGAGTTGAAAGTCCGTGTTGCCCAGCGACAGCCCCAAAACATCACTGCTCTAGAGGAGATCTGCATGGAGGAATGGGCCAAAATACCAGCAACAGTGTGTGAAAACCTTGTGAAGACTTACAGAAAACGTTTGACCTGTGTCATTGCCAACAAAGGGTATATAACAAAGTATTGAGAAACTTTTGTTATTGACCAAATACTTATTTTCCACCATAATTTGCAAATAAAATCATTAAAAATCCTACAATGTGATTTTCTGGATTTTCTTTTCTCATTTTGTCTGTCATAGTTGACGTGTACCTATGATGAAAATTACAGGCCTCTCTCATCTTTTTAAGTGGGAGAACTTGCACAATTGGTGGCTGATTAAATACTTTTTTCCCCCACTGTATGTATGGTTTTTAAATACATGCCATGTAAAAAAAAATAATTCTGCAATAAATGCAATGAACAAAAAAAACTAATGTTCCGAGTACATTTTGCATGATGTAAATACATATCCATGTTATTATTTTTTGTATGGGGGTGCGAAATTTATGTTATTAAAATATATGATCATATTTTAAAATGTATGTCACGTTTATATATATTTTAAAATATATGTCACGTTCTTTGATATATAAGGCCATATATTAATTTTCCATATGGAAGCAGCCCAAGTCTTTGTGTAATAGTTTGTTAGACAAATGTGAGGGAAAGTCCATAGCCCTAGCTCAGGGGTGTCAAACTCCTTCTTTGGAGGGCCTAGTGTCTGCAGGTTTTTGGTTTTTCCTTTAAATTAAAACCTAGACAACCAGGTGAGGGGAGTTCTTTACTAATTAGTGACCTTAATTCATCAATCAAGTACAAGGGAGGAGCGAAAACCTGCAGACACTTGGCCCTCTGTGGAATGAGTTTAACTCGTGTCCTAGCCCCTATGGCACTGTAAACATTGGACATCAGAAGGCAAGGTGACACTATTTCCACCAATACGAAGCCCTTTAGAGCCCCACAGTGGAGGTGTCGTAATACCCATAAAACCTAGCGGTCAAACAGGGAAATGGTTCAAATCATTTCCCCATCATTTATTTTTCCCATATGTAATTTTTGAAACTTAAAATAAGGACTGTGTTTCGTGTAGGCTTACCCTAGCGTGACGTTTTGATAACCATGTAAATCTCACTCGGACAAGATTACTTTTATCAATATAGTCGTTGTCTATTTACTCTCAGATTCGAAAATGCTAATTAGCATCAAAGTGGACATCATGCAAGACTACAAATCCCTGCAAGCTCGCACATCATCTCTAGCCGACACCTTTTCTAACAAGTATTGTGTCAATTTAAAACTTGCACAAGACCATTCACAGAATGGTCAATTTAAAGACATTTAGCCAATTTATTCATTACTAAATTTAGCTAACCAGATAGTTAATCCAGAGATGTTTTCCTTTGCCTTGATTCTGCAATCTCATCCAGATCATCATGGCATTTGTAGTTCTTTATGATAACCACGTTAGCAGCTAATTAGCGTTTCATTTTTTGGGGGGGGGTAAATACAGGTAAATATATTGATAAAAGTCACCTTGTCCTAGAGAGATTTACACGGTTATCAAAATGTCACGCCAGGGTAAGCCTATACAAAACACAACTTTTATTTTAAGTGTTTCTAAAATCCCCTATGGGGAAAATGAATGGTGGAAAAATGGTTTGAACCATTTCCTTGTTTCACCGCTAGGTGTTATTGGTATTATGACTCGGTGGTACTCTATTGTCCTCATCCAAGCAATCTTCAAATACCCATGCCATGCCTGAAAGTAAGAAATGGAAGGGAAATATTGAGAACTTTACATTGGATAGGCTGTAGAGCTGAGTTAAAGTTCATACTAGTCCTGATTATTGTCAACAATAGTACTTATAAGTTATAGTAATATATTTGAGATTTGGGACTCATCTTTATCCTTTACCAATGTAAGCACCCACCTGTCCCAAGTCAGTGAAAGTCATACATTCATTTCACAATGCATTTATTTTTTTGACATTTAAAATAGTATTTACTAAACGTAAGCAGACAAGACTGTGCACGGTTGCACTTATGTACACTTTTCTGTACCTAGACACCATAAAAATCTATAAACATTGGTTCAGTAAAAATTGTTTTTCAAGATCCTTTAAAACAGGAAAATGTGAATTTATACAACTTTTACAAAGCAAACCCCCACACATCCAAATGTACATTCCAGTAAATAACGTCATAACCTCAAATGCCCTCCCAGATTTAACTAAAATAGTTTCTCTAAATCTCATGTTCAAAATGTTATTTAGCTTACTGTACAGACAAATATTAGGCTTTACATTAAACATACATAATGCACATCAGATTCCATCACTCCGTGCTACTGCGTCAAACAAGTATTTTAAGACGAGTCAAAATCCTTCTTTTTGTGTGTATTGTTATTGTATTGCTAGATATTGCTGCACTGTTGGAGCCAGAAACATAAGCATTTCGCTGCACCTGTGAAAAGGGTGTAAGCGACCAATAAACGTTGACTTGAGCCACGTAGCTCCTTTCATTTGGCACCTCGCATCAGGAAGTGACAAACTCAACCATAGATTTAAGAGGAAACCTTGACAGTTTAACAGAATGTCAGCACAGTAAAAAAATAAGTTGGAAAATAATACAACAATGGGCTCAAAGTTTACCACGCACAGCTCTTCATAACATCTTATGTTAAAGGTGACAAATGGGATTTAGTAGAATCCATCGCAGCTCCAACATTTGATCTTCCATCCACAAATAAACATTGGCTTACTTTATAAGCCAAGGTGAAATCAAACCCTAATATTCAAGTTATCCACTGTCATTGGATTTCTACAAATTATTGTTTACTTTGTAACACTATCCAATAGATGATATGTAAATTCAAAACTCTAATTAATGAGGACATGTAGATAACAGACATAAATGTACTAAAATCCCCATTGCCTAATCCCCACACCAGTATGAATTTCATTACGTAAAACAGACCAAACCTACTGAACTAAATGATATGGGAGTTTCACTAAATGAAATATGCTTGGAACTACCTGAGAATTCCACACAAGCTCATCCATACACAGTTCCACAAATGTGTAAATCCACATGGATCGTCTCTGTGCAGCCAACCAGAACTACGTGCTATTCAGCACATACCGTAGGAGAAGATATTCAAATAAATACTATTATTTGTATTTATGGTAAACAGCAAAAATGCTGTTTCTAAATCTTAACATGTAGTTTGTTGCTGTCAAATATACGTTAGTCACTGAACATGCTATAAATACAGTTAGAGCTAACATACGTGATCCAAGTAGGTCTGCCACATAAAACTAGGTGCATTTCAGTTACTTGACCATGTAACCCCATATCACAAAGCTATTACCAGATCAGATATGAATTGATTAAATTACTAAAATGTAAATATGGAACCACAGAATGAATGATTCTCAATTTATCTGTAACTACGATCGTTTACATACATTTTCATGCCATGCCTCAATCACTAGTTAAAGACCAATGAGAAAATGTCTTCTGGGCAAACGTTTTTACATGTATAGGACCAAATGTTGCCAATCTCCACAAAAAAACAAAACAGTGTAAAATTCTCAGGTCTTCTATAATAAAAGTGGGGTCAATATAACTGAGGGCAAGCCTGATTCACAAAGCATTATGGTCATGGTAATTTATGCAAAACATTTCATGGTCTTTGATATAAAGTAAAAGTTATATTCGATTTATTTGAACCTACGTCATTGTGGCTACAGTAACAATTATTACCACATTAGCAAGCTTCCACAGTAAAAAGAATACAGCAACATCCCTTCCTCAGCAAGCAAACCTCAAACAAAAAACTGATAGTTAAAGTGATGCTCCAGACCTTTTGTATAATTTCAGCCAGTAGTTTTGAAAGTAGTGATCACGAGCCAAAATGCGTCCTCGGAAATTGTGCACCATGTCAACTATTTCGTATGATAAGTTCCGTCCAGCAAAAAAACGTTCTCAATTCATATAATATGTGCTTCAGATCCTGGACTGCATATTTAACTTCACTCCAAAATCAACATGCCAGAGGAGTCCATGTTCCAAGCCATCTTGTGTAGATCCAATGGTACACCTCAACTGGAAATATTGACACCATTAAAAATTATGAAATTAGATGGTGCCAATCTTTCTCATTAATTTATGATTGAGACATACAGCTTGATCTACAATAGTTGACATGGGCTCATCTCGACGTCAGATGGCTTTTAAGGTTTGAAAACATCTGACAAACTTTGATTTTGACTGAACTATCTTTAAGTGTTCATATCAAAATAAATCAAACACGCAGAGGTGAAGAAAATATGTTAGAGAAAATGTTTGGGACAAAACGCTGGCCAACTCACGATTGATACTTCCCTCTCCCGCCAATACGACAGCACGTGCCTTCCTTTCTGTTGGAGGTGGTTTAAGAACACTGCGGGAAACAAATACAATATGTCCATGGAGGCATCCACCAGCCTAAACCACATACTGGTGGTTGGAGGCGCCGTAGTTCATTGTGTAGGCCTGCCGGCTGTACTGGAAGTGGTCGGTCAGCACATTGCTTCGACCATACTGAATGTCTGAACCTTGGGAGAAAGGCACTGAACCATTGGGCTGCGTCTTGTCCAGTCCCAAATTGTCGAAGGACATCGTGTCCTGCTTGGAGGAAGGCAGCAGCTTCTTCTTAGCTTCCTTATTGGAATCATATTTCGCCTGTTGGCAGTGAAGAGAAGGGAATAGCTTAGCGTAGCACATAACAAAGGATGACAAAAATACACACTGATGTAAATTACCACTGTGTGATTTCACAAAGTTCTATGTAGTTATAAAGTTGCATGTAAACTTTCTTCAGTGGGGGAGGAATTCAGAGCATCTTACAGAACCACTGTTAGAAACCTATTCCCCCCCATGCAGCGCAGGGCAAGCACCATGGCAGCAACAAGCACAATTGCACGTTTGGTTGTCTTTTAACACATTGTAAGACAGTTGAGTGAGTTTAAATATCAAAATTGCAAGGTGTGAGGAGTGTACCCGTAGTATTTTGGGTATTTATTAAATTTGCATCTGGGATGACCAAAAAAAATACATAGCTCTACAGACTTCGCGCCACATAGTACAATAGTATCTGAACATTTCCAACTAATAATTCAACTAAGTTCATGAAATAGATGAACAATTAAATCAAACTCAGCATTAAGCATGCAGATGCATAAATGGGAGACGCAAAGAGTCCTTCACACTTGCACTTCTTTCTTAGTAGCACTGATTTAGCAGATAGCGACTATATTCAAGGTTTACATTGCAATAATTGTGATATGTGATTGGTTTACCCATCTTAGGTGAATGGAGTGATTGTATTGACTGGATAAATGTCAAAAAAGTTAATGTAAGCGTGTCAGAGGGAGTCACCTTGTTGTACAGGAAGACGCCCACAATGGCCGTCATCATGCCCATGATGTTGGTGGAGCTAACTGGGTTGCGCAGCATCAGGAGCGATATGCTGATGACCATGATCCTCTTGGTGGCGTTTGCCACAGCGTAGCTCAGCGGGCTGACCAGGTTGAGGACGCTGAAAGCGATGACGTTCTGGGCAAAGTTACAAAAGCCACTGACGAGGAGTAAAAGGAAGGTGCCGGTCCATTCAGACATGCCTGTCTGGAGGGGTTATGCAGAGGAGGGAGGAAATTATTACTTGGATTTCTGGAGAGAACAATGGGTTTAGTGATGACTTTCTAGGAAAATAGAATGTATCGAGGTTGTAGTCTCAATGTGACAATTGAATAAAAGGCAACCGGATACTAGCGATTCTGTTGTGTGTGAAGTTAAATTGAGGATTAGGAAAAGGAAGTAGATAACAAATGTATGGTACAAACTGTGTGACATCCTGTAGACGTGTACAGTGAATATATCATGTGGATAGAAGACGGACACACACTCCAGCAGCAGTAGAATAAACACTATCTTATAAGCCAGACAACAATTAGAGCACATTATTTGACGTGTAATGTATGAACCTGCGCATACACTTTACGAAACTGAAGAACGTATCCTATCCTTTTTTAACTCACAAAATCCCCCTCAACCAAGAATGAGGAGAGGTCCACCAGAACCCACGTAGGCACCATGAAGAAAACTGCATTGAAGCCCAGTATGTTGAGAAGTCTCAGGTGGTGGATCCTCGTGTCCCGCAGCACCTAAAAATAAATGCATATTCATTCATGGCCTTGTCATTTCTTAGGCAGAAAACAACTGTTGTGTTGACCTTACGCCTCGATCAGACCAACATCAATTCTGCGTAATAAATTATGCAGTCCAACTTTTTCCATTATGTAATTCAAAATTGTTAATGGATGTGTGTGCAACAAAAGTTCAACATTCACCTACTATTTCTGTCAAGTCTACGCATACAATTTGATGCATACGTTGGATAAATCTTCATCAACAAGCATGAGACAGGTAACTAATCACAGTTGGTAATTAACAAGACATGCTTGTTTAAGTCTAACACTACAAATTATTACACAGTAATTTGACTGCAGGGTTAGTAATATCAAAAGTCATTCATAACATGTCACAGAGTAATGTGCAATGGGGTAAATACACTCACCGACCAGTTTATTAGGTACACCCATCTAGTTCATGCTGCGAACAGCCTGTTCCATTTCATCCGAGAGATGCCCTATTGGGTTGAGGTCTGTGGACTGCGCAGGCCAATCAAGTAAACTGAACTCGCTGTCATGTTCCAGGCTATGTTTTTCCACTCCTCAATTGTCCAGTGTTGGTGATCGCGTGCCCACTGGAGCCGCTTCCTTCTTGATTTTAGCTGATAGGACTGGAACCCGGTGTGGTCGTCTGCTGCAATAGCCCATCCGTGACAAGGATTGACGAGTTGTGCATTCCGAGATGCCGTTCTGCACACCGCTGTTGTACTGCGCCATTATTAGTCTGTTTGTGGCTCACCTGTTAGCTTGCACGATTCTCCTTCAACCTCTCATCAACGAGCTGTTTTCGCCCACAGGACTGCCGCTGACTGGATGTTTTGTTTGTCGCACCATTCTCTGTAAATCCTAGATGACACTGTCGTGCATGAAAAGCCCAGGAGGGCGGCCGTTTCAGAGATACTGGATCCGGCGCGTCTGGCACCGATGATCATACCACCCTCAAAGTCCCTTAGGTCTCTCATTTTGCCCATTCTGATGTTCAATCGAACAGTAACTGAATGCCTCGATGCTTGCTTTATATAGCAAGCCACGGCCACCTGACTCCCGTCTGTAGAAGAGATCAATTTCCGTGAATGGGTGATGTACCTAATAAACTGGCCGTTGAGTGCATGTCCTCCTCAAATATTGGTTTAAGGGAGGCCACTCAAAACAGCAGGGAAATGCAGGAGAGATGACACAGCACATCTACAGTATGTACTGAGCAAATGCATTGCAAGGATTAACAAGGCTTCATACTAATAGGCCTTGCCCTTGAGTTTTTTTGAGTGTTTTCATGTTTAGTATGAGTGATGTCTACTATGTGTGCAATTGAATATTGCAAGGAGTGCTTTTACAGGGTGCAAGATTAATTCCTTCAAATAATACAGTATTCTATTAAAAGGAAAGCATCTTGAACTTATTCTACAACCTCTGCTCAAACACATACTTCATTCAAACACATAAGTACACAATGTGCTCTCCAGCTATACTATCCATCATCTAATAACACAAACAATAGTCCTTTTCAAAAGGGTGCAGACTGGTAAGACGTACCTTTTTGGAAAATATATTTTGCAGAGAGAAGCAGAGTGTGGCGGCCAGGGCACTGACTAACCCAGACACATCAAAGGACATCTCTGTCATTGTGGCCAGAAGCACTCCTCCGATGATGGGGATGAGAGCTACGTACACCTGAGACAGGCACGGGACAAGAGTGCAAAAGAGAAAGTAGGCCAAAGTCAAAAAGTATGGTTGAAACAATTACCATCCATACACATGCAGTTGTTTTGCTAATTTGTTTGTGGGACATTGTCACATTGAACACAACCTCTAAATGGCTGTGGCACACACAGTGCATTCGGAAAGTATTCAGACCCCTTGACATTTTCCACATTGTATTACGTTACAGCCTTATTCTAAAATGGATTAACTTGTTATTTTTTTCCTCATCAATCTACACACAATACCCCATAATGACAAATCAAAAACAGGTTTAGACATTTTAGCAAATGTATAAAAAAAAAAAAAAAATGGAAATATCACATTTACATAAGTATTCAGACTCTTTACTCAGTACTTTGTTGACGCACCTTTGGCAGCGATTATAGCCTCGAGTCTTCTTGGGTATGACACTACAAGCTTGGCACACCTGTATTTGGGGAGTTTCTCCCATTCTTCTCTGCAGATCCTCTCAATCTCTGTCAGGTTGGATGGGGAGCGTCGCTGCACAGCTATTTTCGTCCGGACTCTGGCTGGGCCACTCAAGGACATTCAGAGACTTGTCCCGAAGACACTCCTGCGTTGTCTTGGCTGTGTGCTTAGGGTCGTTGTCCTGTTGTAAGGTGAACCTTCGCCCCAGTGTGAGGTCCTGAGCGCTCTGGAGCACGTTTTCATCAAGGATCTCTCTGTACTTCGCTCCGTTCATCTTTCCCTCGATCCTGACTAGTCTCCAAGTCCCTGCCGCTGAAAAACATCCCCAAAGCATGATGCTGCCACCACCATGCTTCAACGTAGGGATGGTGCTTGGTTTCATCAGACCAGAGAATCTTGTTTCTCATGGTCTGAGAGTCCTTTAGGTGCCTTTTGGCAAACTCCAAGGGGGCTGGCATGTGCCTTTTACTGAGGAGTGGCTTCTGTCTGGCCACTCTACCATTTTATTTAACCTTTATTTATTACCATAAAGGCCTGATTGGTGGAGTGCTGCAGAGATGGTTGTCCTTCTGGAAGGTTCTCCCATCTCCAAAGAGGAATTCTGGTGCTTTGTCAGAGTGACCATCGGGTTCTTGGTCACCTCCCTGACCAAGGCACTTCTCCCCCGATTGCTCAGTTTGGCCGGGTGGCCAGCGCTAGGAAGAGTCTGTGGTTCCAAACTTCTTCCCTTTAAGAATGATGGAGGCCACTGTGTTCTTGGGGACCTTCTATGCTGCAGAACATTTTTGGTACCATTCCCCAGATCTGTGCCTCGACAAAATCCTGTCTGGGAGCTCTATGGATAATTCCTTCGACCTCATGGCTTGACCACAGGTGGACTCCAATGAAGTTCTAGCAACATCTCAAGGATGATCAATGGAAACAGGATGGACCTGAGCTTAATTTCTAGTCTCATAGCAAAGGTTCTGAATACTTATGTAAATAAGGTGTTTTTTTATTTGTAAGACATTTCCAAAAATTTATAGAAACCTGTTTTCGCTTTGTCATTATGGGGTATTGTGTGTAGATTGATGAGGGAAAAAATAATGTAATCAATTTTAGAATAAGGCTGTAACGTAACAAAATGTGCAAAAAGTCAAGAGGTCTGAATACTTTCCGAATGCACTGTAAACAGCTTTTTTATTGTGCAACACTACTATGGCCCCTACAGTGTTAACAGGATGCACTTTTTCCTGCCTCAAAGCTGCTACCTGTAAATACACCTGCAAGGCTGGCAGTAATATGAGCCAACAGACAGGCTCACATTGTGCCACATCACCATTGCTTGGACAAAATATATTCGAAAGCAGCTTGTACACTATCAATTCTCGGAGTTACTCACTTTTGTTGTTTGCTTCTCCTTCATGATAATCCTTGATAACAACACAACCCATATTGGCATTGTGGCTTTGACTGTGGAGTGAAAAGAAACAAAGAATGTGAGATTGGAAAAAATATAAAAGGATCCTGTTCAGTGCTTGAATTGAGGGCAAGGGCTTGAGTTGGACGAGCATAGGTTACAAAAGGTAAGGAGCATGACTTTTGAGATACAGTGGTTTAAAGACTTAGGGCCCATGCGATTGTGCAACACACCTAGAGTTTAAGTCTCATTGTGTCTTGTGCGTCACAGACACACCCCTGGTCAACACAAAACGTGGAACTTGCATATCGCATCATAACCTTATGACCCTGCGCCATCAACCCTAGCTGTACGTGCCAGTTATTGAGGTAAGACAGCAATGAGTTACAGTTAAACTTTATAAGGGCTTACATCATACATTATGTACCTAGCTAATTACGAAGTGAATAGTATAATACAAAGGGATTGACATTAAATGTTGCCAGGGGCAAGTTTCTGAGCTGTCAGGTTTCCACTAGTGACCACAGCCACAAAGTCAAAATTGGTTAGAAATTCATGAACACAAACATTTGCTTTTTGTTCTTAATTTAAGGTTAGGCATAAGGTTAGCAGTGTGGATAAAGTTCAGGTTAGGTTTAAAATCCGATTTTATATAGACAAATTGTAAAAATAGGCTGGGTTTATGACTTTGTGGCAACTAGTGACGACCAAGTCAGGAAAGGTGACGCTCCGACTGTTTCCTTGTTGAGATTCAATTGGCACATGCGCATTCGCGCCGAGTTGCCATCTTAAAGTAACAGCAATGAGGAAACAGTCGGTGGTTGTATTTGATTAACGTTTAATTAAAAAGCATGAATTTAAGCGAACAAAGAAAGGCACGCAACAACAGAGGACAAACATAGGTACAAGGTAAGGGATTAAGAATGTACATTTTTTAAGTATCGACGCATAGCGACTCGAAGGAGTAGGAGGTTCCTTTCAAAAACTCTAGTCTACACTCAACTCAGTGAAGGAGTTGAGGTAGGCTACTTGGTAAGGTTGGCCCCTCCCCCAAACAAAAAGGTATTCAAACAACCCCAGTATGTTGGTAAGGGGAGACGCAAGCTCCTCGGCTAATCGTAAAGTGACCTAAACAAAGCTTGCCAAAATTACGTGCACAAGATACCAATTAATGTCGTTGCTAGCAAACTAATGCATTTAAAAATGTGCTACTGTTGCGAGCTAACTAGCTAACATTCCGTTAGTTAAAACGTCAACCAATGATTCTGAGCCAGCTACTGTAGCCTGATTCAGAGCTCGTGCAATTCTTACCAGTGTGTGCGTAGGAAACAGGTACCTTCCATATACTGAAGTGGGCCGACACAGAAGCGAAGTATTTCCCAAAAGCTAAAGGGAGAATATACCATTTGTAGTATCTAGTTGGTACTTCTGTTTTGGGGACTCCCCATGCCTTCAACAACGTAGGAAGGAAGACGACGATTGAGAGTATATGAAAGAGCGAAACGGTGACAGGATAAGGGAATCCATTTAGAATAATTTTGTTAACGACGTTGCCTCCCGAACTAACAGTGTACCAACAGAAACAGAGTAAAGCTATCCGGACCCCTTCCTTGACTGGGGGACGTTCCACCGCAGCCATCTTCCAGTTCGGAGTCACCGGCGGCAGTGTCGCAAGGCCAGCAGTGAGACGTGGAGCAGCTACCAAAGATGGTGGATAAATGAAGACAGTTCACTCAGGCCGTTTATTTATCTTCCAGTTCAGAGTCACCGGCGGCAGTGTAGCAAGGCCAGCAGTGAGACGTGGAGCAGCTACCAAAGATGGTGGATAAATGAAGACAGTTCACTCAGGCCGTTTACCATTGGCAAAATTAAGTTCCGGTCTACTTAACTGGGTGTGTCTCCCATAGACACCGATGCAATAGCAACTGGGACTGGTCTACATGACTTTCATTGAAACAGCGAATGCGATATCTCGCTTCCTCTTCCGTCTCTGCAGCTACTACGTACCAGAGTCATATATATGGCTCTGCTACGTACAACACTACGAATATATGCCGTTTTCACGTGCTAGTCGGAACTAGGAAACTCTGAAATGTCCGACTTGCTATCTTTTTGAACGCAGCACGTGTATAACTACAACCAGATAGCAAGTCGGAGTTTCCTAGTTCCAACTAGCACGTGAACACGGCATTTGCTGATTGCGTCACTCCCCCCCTTTACAGCAGAGGTCCCTCATAATTTAAATATTTAAACTATACGGCTCATAGACATATTTACCATGCGCCATTAAACTCTTTCACGTTTTATCATATTTTGTAGATCAATAGCTGTGTACCTGGCGACTGAAATAATTATGAACTTGTTTAACTTCTTTCAATTCATTCGATTGTGTTGTCGTAGTTAGTTGCTGAATACTGGAATCTATTCACATTGACTGTTAAGGGAAATCCATTTTTCTATTTAACATATTTCAGAATAATTATTTGGCACATAAAGAGTTTATGGGCCCCAACATAAACATTTCCACCTGCGAAGTGCTGAGCGATAGTGGCTCCTAATTAACACCAGAGGGCGTTATATACCAGGGAAATTATCAAAATGTATCATCTGGATAGCGCATTAAATATTATATTTAGTCACAGGTATGTTGTAAACTACTTTTAGAAAGATGGGCTCAAAAGAGCACTCATTTATCTACTTAAAATGTGGATGTTGAGGGTAAAAGTCAAGCCACTGCTGAGGCTCTCATCTTGTTGCAAACATCTCAGGACAGATTAGAAAGTGTGTCCTGAGGCACACTGTTCCACTGAAAGGGAGAAAGACATTCACAATTTATGCATTTGTATTTATTTATTAACACACTGTATCAATGTGTCCATTTAAAATGACTAAGTATCAAATATGTTCTCTTCTGCATTCAACTGAACACAAAAGGCACATTTCTATACATTCACTAAGGCTCCATTTTAGGAAACACATTGGTTTCCATAAGGCAAACAATATCTAAAGGAATGGTAACAAGTATATTTCCAGCATATAAACAATTTATTTTTCTGTTTTTCCTCACAGTACAAAGTTGCAATGTTTTAGCATAATCTGGTTTGCCATTAGAATTCATATTTTACAACCTAGAAACAAGAGGGAAAAAAGGCAAAGAAAATGCTATTAACTAATTTTTGTGTAATTTTGCAGATTGTTTCCCAGTAAACTAAGATAAGTTGGTGGTCAGACAAGAACCGTTCTAGTTGTATGGTGGTATGGAATGCTGCTACTGCGTTAACCAACCATTTTTGTGAGAATGTGCAAAGCACAGGTTTACCATATCTGACAAGCAGAACTGATTGAATAAGTGACTTCGATGAAAGTTTTTTTGCACATTTATGTAACTAACAAAATAAAGAGAATAAGTCGAGATAAATAAATGCATACATGACATAACCACACATTTCATTCTCTTTGCCAGCTTGTACCTGCCAAACAGGTTCCTTAAAGTTACTGGGCACCTTAAACTCTTTGCATTTTGCAGACAATGCATGGAACTCTTCCACTCAAAGAACTTCAGTGATGCTACAGCTGAGCTGTCTCCCATCGAACACTGATCAGCTATTGCTTTTTATAGACAGCACAATTAGCAAGGCCTCTCTTACACCAACTCTGCAAGGGAGTGAGCAGGTTCTCCTACCGACAAGTGCCTTTTTGCACGCCGACTTTACACAACCCTCAAGGAGGGAGCAAAGGAAGGAGCTATATATCCCTCTTAATTCTGAAACCACAGCTCATTAAACTCTCAGTCTAGGCAGACATATGGCAGGATGTTCAGCTTACTCTCATCCCCATGTGGGTCTAAGGATATGCACTCTGTCCAATCATACCAGTTGTCCTTGGTGTCATAGCAACCGTTCACCCCAGGCCAGTGCTCTTTGTGTATTCTGTTGAGGTCCTTGTTTGTGACATCTCGGCTCACCCCTGGTAAATCCATGTCAGGGATATTTGGTACAAGCACATGTGTTTTTCTGGCCTCTTTGATATGATGTTCCTCATGTTTCAAGTACTCATTCATGAAAAAGTGTGCCCCGGAGGTTTGAGCCCCAGACGATGTGAGCACATTGCTTTGACGGTTAAGGTAGGACTGAATGATTTCGTTCCTCGACAGCTCTGTCCAGTTGGTCTGTTGGAAGGGACTGGGATTAACAGGGGGATTCTGTGCATATTGATTCTGCTTCAGCAGTTCTGTCCGAGGAGGTTCTGGCGTGACCGGCCACACTGTAGCCTCCCGTTCCGGGTAAGACTCTTTGTGGGTCCAGGATTTGATCTGCCCTGTTACAGGGTCAAACGTAAGTCTACGGTCTTTTAATCTACATGGTTTTGTGCTCTCTTCCGTGGGCTGCCCACCCAAGTTCACTGTATAGTCTCTGGACCTGTATTTGTTCCTCCTCTTTCTCACTGTGCTAGTGGCAGCACCATAGCCCTCCGCCTTCACCTCGCTGTGTGACGTGGCTTTTGAGTTGTGCAGAGAGTCAGGTCTCATGGTACTGTGCTGAAGGCGTTGGTCCACGTCTGCCGGTCCGTCCTGATGAAGGGCGGACTCTGCAGACGGAGGCCCTACAGTGAGGGAACCCTGGATACATGAGGTTAAAGGCTGTGGAGAAGGCAAAGGAGAGGGCCCAAGTCCAGAGCTGTCCATAACCGTGGGGCTCTGAGCCGTGCTCAGTAGAGTTGTTGCTTTGGGCGCAGACAGTTTAACAACCACGTCCTGTTTCGTACTTCTGGGACTATACGAGTTGCTATGTGGGCTTTTGGGCTGATGCGGCCCCCTTCCTGAGGCAGCCAGGTCCATTTTAGCTTGCTGTTGCAACACGGCTGTTTTGAGCAATGCGGAAGTGCTTGGAGGTTTGGCAAGTCCCGGTGAGCTAGGGTGAGGTTTGACGGCGTTGATGGGAATTTTGTTGAGTCTGTCGTTGTCAAGATGATCAGCACTATCATTGTCTGATTTTGGATGTGCATGAGCATCAAGTGTGTCCGTAAAAGCCTTGGGGCTGGCCCCAATTCCATTTATTGGCAGCCGTGAGTTTCGTGTTCTTTCATTGGCAGTTTTTTTAGAGATTTTCGCTGGTAAGTGCTGTCCATCCCTCTGCTCCCCCTTGCATTTTCTGTTGCCTGACTTTTCCGCTTTAGGGGAGTAACAGTTGTTGAAGTCATTTCTACTCTTGAGCTCCGAAACCGTTTTATCCGAAGGCGGGATGGCAGCTGGAGGGGAGACATCCGTCCGGCAGGGATTGGTACCACCGTTGACAGCGCCTGGCGGCCCTCTATGCCCCTTGGACCGTGCCTCACTCTGCCCAGGCTCAATCAGCTTCTGCCAGGTGCGCAGGAGCTTCTTTGCACGCTTGGCAAGATCCTCATCCTTTGTCTTTTTCCTTACGTCGTTGATCAGCTTGCCAAGGCGGGTTTCCTTGAAGAAGAACAGGAAGTTTTTTTTTAGTACAACACCCTCTTGGCAACATATTTCCAAGAGCTGACATATCCATTTTTGTCCCCAGCATTACCTACCTCAAGTGCTTCTTTGGTGATTGGATATTTCTCCAAATAGGAAATGACATCCATTACAGCCACCATGTTGCAGATCTGCTGGAGAGTAAAGAACAAATCATGTTAAAACTATGAAAGAGACAAATGGTCAGAGAAACTCAATTAATTTATAATGACAGATGAGTGTATACAACAATTCAATCAAATCTGGTAGGGGCCAGATTGTAGAATATGAACTTCAATTACGCCACTTCTGTTTTGCAGATAAAACCAAGGCTCTGAGCATGAATTCTCTTCACTCAGAACAATACATTCAAATAATTGAACCATTGGATTAAAAAACCCACACTGACAGCCATAGTCAGTGGTTTACATGAATAGGCCTAACGGTTCAATGGATGTATGGTTCACACTACAGCCACTTACTGACCTATGGGTACCGACGGTATGAATATAAATAACTTTCGCCAACAGGTCATGTTGTCTGCAGGCAGCAGGACTCAAATACCTTTAGCTAACTTATTTATAGAATGAGCCTCTTTGGATAGCTTCTTGGTAGTTCCCCTTTCCTTGACAATTTGTTTAGCTTTAATAACATACCCTTCTCTCAAAAAACAATATACAAGAGTAGTTAGATACTGATGTTTAGCCCACTAGTCTCGCATAGACACCACTTTCAGATGTACACCTGTATCATATACCGGGGGCTTAAACCGAAAGCAGTTTCGAGTTTGAGATTTAGAAACTAAGAATATACAGTTGATGTTGGAAGTTTACATACACCTTAGCCAAATACATTTAAACTCAGTTTTTCACAATTCCTGACATTTAATCCTAGTAAAAATTCCCTGTCTTAGGTCAGTTAGGATCACCACTTTATTTTAAGAATGTGAAAATGTCAGAATAATAGTAGTGATTTATTTCAGCTTTTATTTCTTTCATCACATTCCCAGTGGGTCAGAAGTTTACATACACTCAATTAATATTTGATAGCATTGCCTTTAAATTGTTTAACTTGGGTCAAACGTTTCGGGTAGCCTTCCACAAGCTTCCCACAATAAGTTGGGTGAATTTTGGCCCATTTCTCCTGACAGAGCTGGTGTAACTGAGTCAGGTTTGTAGGCCTCCTTGCTCGCACACACTTTTTCAGTTCTGTCCACACATTTTCTATAGGATTGAGGTCAGGGCTTTGTGAAGGCCACTCCAATACCTTGACTTTGTTGTCCTTAAGCCATTTTGCCACAACTTTGGAAGTATGCTTGGGGTCATTGTCCATTTGGAAGACCCATTTGCGACCAAGCTTTAACTTCCTGACTGATGTCTTGAGATGTTGCTTCAATATATCCACAATTTTCCTTCCTCATGATGCCATCTATTTTGTGAAGTGAACCAGTCCCTCCTGCAGCAAAGCACCCCCACAGCATGATGCTGCCAACCCCGTGCTTCACGGTTGGGATGGTGTTCTTTGGCTTGCAAGGCACCCCCTTTTTCCTCCAAACATAACAATGGTTATTATGGCCAAACAGTTCTATTTTTGTTTCATCAGACTTTTTTATGCCGGTTTTGGAGCAGTGGCTTCTTCTTTGCTGAGCGGCCTTTCAGGTTATGTCGATATAGGACTTGTTTTACTGTGGATATAGATACTTTTGTACCCGTTTCCTCCAGCATCTTCACAAGGTCCTTTGCTGTTGTTCTGGGATTGATTTGCACTTTTCGCACCAAAATACGTTAATCTCTAGGAGACAGAACCTGTCTCCTTCCTGAGCGGTATGACGGCTGCGTGGCCTCATGGTGTTTATACTTGCCTACTATTGTTTGTACAGATGAACGTGGTACCTTCAGGTGTTTGGAAATTGCTCCCAAGGATGAACCAGACTTGTGGAGGTCTACAAAAAAAAAAAAAAAAAAACTGAGGTCTTGCCTGATTTCTTTTGATTTTCCCATGATGTCAAGCAAAGAGGCACTGAGTTTGAAGGTAGGCCTTGAAATACATCCACAGGTACACCTCCAATTGACTCAAATTATGTCAATTAGCCTATCAGAAGCTTCTGAAGCCATGACATCATTTTCTGGAATTTTCCAAGCTGTTTAAAGGCACAGTCAACTTAGTGTATGTAAACTTCTGACCCACTGGATTTGTGATACAGTGAATTATAAGTGAAATAATCTGTCTGTAAACAATTGTTGGAAAAATTACTTGTGTCATGCACAAAGTAGATGTCCTAACCGACTTGCCAAAACTATAGTTTGTTAACAAGAAATTTGAGGAGTTGTTGAAAAACAAGTTTTAATGACTCCAACATAAGTGTATGTAAACTTCCGACTTCAACTGTACATGCAATTTGTTAACCATTCTACTCAAACCAGTAATGCATTAGGCTAAACCCAATCCACTAAAACAGACAGGCTAGGTTTATTCAACAAACTTGGCTCAACAATAAGAGGGGTTTGTTCCAGATATGTTCATGTTCAACTAAAATTGTTAATACGGTATTATATAAAACAACCCAGATCAAATCTGTGCTCTGAATTGGATCAATGAATTATGCTGTAAGCAGTGGCAGAGATTAAAGGTTATTTTCAGCAGTGTATGCCTTAGCCCAGGGGTACTCAACTCTTACCCGACGAGGTCCGGTGCCTGCTGGTTTTCTGATATACCTGATAATGAATTGCACACATCAGTCCCTGATTAGAGGGGAACAATTAAAGAATGCAGTGGAACTGGCTTCGAGGTCCAGTGTTGAGTTGGAGGGCCTTAGCCCAATAATGGACCAAAGGAGCCTAACGTTACTCATTATACTCCAAGGATGTTCTGTTTAAAGGCGAATTGGCTCTGAAAGCCAAAAACTCAATCTAAACGTGAATCGATTCTCAATTGAGGTACGGTTCTAGAAACATAAATCCCTCTCATATCACATAATTATTTCAGAAATTCAAAATACACACTCCTATACACTGTTTTAACCGGTTTTAACAGTTGCAGCTGACAGTGTTTTCCAGTGACAACACGTTTGTGGCGTTCGCCTTCCGTTTACACACAGGTGTTTGGAGACGCTGATAGCTAATTAGCTTAGATAGTCCACTCGGTCTTCCGTCTGTTTTCCGTAAACAAGCGCTGTAACATGGAAATATGGCCGTGTGGGAACCCTAACCCTATAAAAAGGTATGTATCAATTGAACCTTCTTTTGCTGATATGAAAGATAACGTCCTTATGCTTCCAATACCGTAACGCAAGTGATGTGTGTTAATGTTCAGACAGAGCGTCAGAGCTCTTAACAAAACTCCCCCGTACAGAAGAAACCTTCGTCCAATGACGTATAATGCAGTGTTGCCAACTTAGCGATTTTGTCGCTATATTTAGCGAGTATTCTAGCGACACATTTTCAAAACATCGACTAGTGACAAATCGAGCTACTTTTTCTGGTGTTATTGGAGACTTGAGACTGACGTGAAAGTACGTATCGTTCTTACTCTTCTCAACGAGCAGCGTGTGCTGCCGTGGGCCCCACCCCCGTCCCAAAGCACTCACAGGCAGCCCAGTCCTCGCACAGCAGTCCCTCCCAGCTGCAGTCAGAGCAGGAGATGTTCACCCCTCCGCGTCCAGACTGCAAATTAATCGCGCATGTGGGAAGCCGCCGCTGGCTGATCCCGCCCTGGCTTACATTCAGGGCGGGATGTAAATGTAAAATGTTCTTTGTCTAAAATAAATCACTGCATTTGACTCACACAGCCTCAGTCACTTACTCACCTCGTCCACTGTGTGTGTGCCTCTCTGTGACATAAGCTAAACATCTAGCTGGCTAGCTCATCATGTACCAGTCTAAACTGTACACTCAAAAATACAGAAAGAAGTGGGAATCAAACCCTGAATTCAAAGGCTGGTTGAAGCCGTTTATTGGAGATGATACACGGACATACTGCCTGTATTGTAAGGCTGATTTCTACTCCTTACTTAGTGATGTAAAAAAAAACACAAAGCCTTAACAGTTCCACCCAAAAAAGGCTGCCATTTATGGTTTAAAAAATTTACTCTGCAAAAAAGGCTGAGGCCACCATGGCATTAGCTATCGCTGAACACTGTTCCATGCTGGCATGTGATCACATTGGAGAAGCATGTAGAGCTGTTTTCTCAGACTCCACTGCTGCTACCTTAATGGTGTCCTAGCACCATACTTTCTGAAAAAGTTGGTCGCAGATGTGGGTGACCAGCATTTCAGCCTCCTCCTCGATGAGTCCACGGATGTAAGTGTTTCTAAGTACCTGGGGGTTGTGATAAGGTACTTTAGTGACACCAAGCAGACAATTGTATCAACATTTCTGGGGCTTGTTGAGTTGGAGGGAGGAGATGCCAAATCTATAGCCTGTGCTGTTGTGGCTTTCCTCAAAGTGTTGTCTTAAAAAAGAGAAACTCCTGGGGATATGGACTGACAATGCCTCTGTTATGACGGGGATTAACAATGGGGTCCATAAAGTGCTGAAGGAGGAGTATGGCCTCAAAGATCTGGTTCTTATTCGCTGTGTGTGCCACTCTCTGCAGCTTGCTGTAAGTTATGCTTCCAATGACACCATCCCCTGTAGTGTGGAGTACTTGGTACAAGAGACTTATAACTGGTTTTCAGTGTCTCCAAAGCGCAGGGAGGCCTACAAGGCCATATATGAGACCAACTGTGGGGAGAAACCTTTACAGATAACCAAGGTGTGTGCCACACGTTGGCTCTCCATTGAACCTGCAGTTTCATGCATTTTAGACCAGTGGGAGGAGGTTAGGCTGGATTTCACAGTCACCAAGTCCAGTGAACACTGCTACATGGATGAGGTTTTATACTCCATGTACAGTGATCCTCAAAACATATTGTATCTGACTTTTTTGAAGTCAGTGCTGGGTGAGGTACAGTTGGCCATCAAGGCTTTTGAGGGAGAGCAAGTAGATACTCTTAAGCTACTTGACAGCTTGGTTAGCCTGATCAAGTCTGTGAGCAGCAGGGTGCTGAATCCACTGGCAAATGTTGATGTACTCAAAGGGCCAATAGATGGATAAATCAGTCCCAAACCGTACCTTGGTTACCTTTTTGAGTCAAAGGCAGCTGAGCTCCACCTTGCGCCTGAGAATGAAAACAATGTCCGAAAGCGGTGTGTAGCCTTCACCATCTCCCTCACTAATGAGTTGAGGGTGAGACTGCCGGACAACATCGAAGCATTGCAGTACATGTCAGTTTTCAATGTGGAGGAAACTCTAAAGCACAATAAGAAATAGAAAAAAATAGCCAAGCTCCTTGGCTACTCCCCTGCAGAGATAGACAAGATTGTCCAGCAATGGCGTGCCATCCATCTTAGTAAATGGAATGAGACAAAAAACACACTATGCTTCTGGAGTGAGATTTGGAAGTTCAGGGATGCAGCTGATATCAACCCGTTTCAAGAACTTGCCATGGCTGCTGTGTCTTTGTTGTCCTTACCACACTCGATTGCTGAAGTCGAGAGAGTTTTCAGCCAGATGAGTGTGATAAAAAGCAAACTTAGAAATCGGATGTCCTTGCAGACCCTTAACTCCATCCTGTACATTCGATATGGACTGAAGCTGTCTGGTGAGGCTTGCTATGAGCAACAGCTGCCTGATAATGTTTTGCAGTTTTTTGGCACATCAGCTGCTTACTCATTTAAGTCAGCTCCCTCAGTTGCTGAACCTGCCATAGAGAGCCTTGACCAAAATGACGATGACCCACTCTTTCTGTGAGCCAGCACAGCCTGTGTGTGTGTGGAGGGGGTTTTGGAAGAAAAAAAAACAATCAACCTGAATTAGGGCAAGACTAGTTACCATCATTTTCTCACATTGTCATTGACAGTTTTTTCTATTGTCTCTTTTTGGTCTATTTAGATTGTTAATGTAGATTGTATACAAAAAAAATGTTTTAAATGTTATGGTTAAAAATGTTCATGTTTTACTGTGACTTGTTGTAGTTCTAAACATATTTAGGGTGTTTTTTTACTCACTTTTTGTCTCTCCCACAACGTTATTCCGCTCTCCTACAGCGTCCATCACAATTACATGCACATGGCCAATTATGCAAATTAGGCGATGACGTCATTTAGCGACTTCTAGCCAATAGCTACTTTCCTTACTGAGGAGTTGGCAACACTAGTGTAATGTAATGGAACTGAGAGTCATGATCAAGGGCTAAGTATGCCTATGATGACAGGTACAGACTGTAGGCTAGAAAGAGTGCACCTTGACCAACAGACTTGGAGGAAAGCAAGTGTCCTTGTACTGTGTTGTCACTTCTTCAAGAGTTTAACACTTTTGGTTGCCTCAGCCATTTAATTCAAGAGAAAACATTGTTAATCACATATAATGAAAGTTGTTGTGCCTTTGTGTCAGATGGCCCCATGTTAGCAACCAGTAGCCACAGCAGCCATTATGGAATGGCATTCACATTGAACAACAAAAGAGCTGATTGGCTGACACTGCCATTCCAAAATGGCTGTTGTGGCTTCTTCTACCTAACACGAGGATGAAAAGGACAGTTTTCCGATAAAACTTAAACTAGTAGGCGTTCAATCTTCTCAGTGTTACAGTTGGGATAATGGCACTATTCGGAGTACAACGCATTTCTCATCCCTGGATGAGGTACGTTTTCCGATCCATATCTCGCGCCGGCTCCGCTGTGATAATCTACACAGGAAGCCTGTCCGACACTAGTGCAGCTGCCAGCAAGCGGGTCGGATCTGCTGGCTACTAATTTCCAAAACACTGCTGACGTTGGTGCTGGGTTTTGAGAGGTAAGATCATCCTTCCAGTTTGCTGGCTAGCTAGCTACAGTGATTGGGCCTAGCTAAAGTAATGGCAAAGTCGAACTCTGGTTTAGTTAGCTACAACAGTCCTAGCTAAGTGGCAACGCAACAGAATAACTAGCTAGTTTGATAAGGTTAAGTTTCGAATGTCAACTTTAGCTAGCAAAGTTAGGTACAGTAGTTAGCTAAATGACAGGCAGGTAGCTAGTTAACTAGCATAGAACAACAGACAGGTTGAGAACAGAATACGTTAACATGTTTGGGGTCAGTCCAGACTCGTGGGTTTATGTAACCGTACGTTAGCTAGCTAACTACTACATAGTTAATTAACTATTGTTGCCTAGTTACTAAATTCCTAGTATTTACTTTGTTTATCTAACAGGCAGGCTTCCAGCTAGATAACATTAGTTAGCATGGCTGGCTAGCTACCTACCGCGTCGTTAACTACCACTGCACTGGCTCAGATAACGACGTTAGCTAAGTTAGTTAGCTAGCTAATGTTCGCTGTCGATGTTTGTCATGAGATTTCACAGTAGGGGATCATTGCAATAGTGTGGACAGAGACACTTCAAATACGTGGAAACATTAACTCACATTGCTTTGGCCATCGATGGCCTGCATCAGCCGGTCTCTCATCTGCTGTGGCGTTGCCGTGGCCGCTGTCATTGCCTGGCAGTGGTGCGGATCAGTTGGCAGGGGGAGAGAATCCTCCGAAGACACGGGTGGGTGACTTGCAGACACTCACAGACCTTTCGGGAGATGTGCTAGTAAATAAAGCCCCATATTCTATGGAGCTTTGTTTGTCCATGAAAGTGTATTCATGTATTTCGTAATGAATACGTATCTCCAGATAGAGGATCTTCCGAATACTCGTGCCCGACTGCCTCTTCGGCAGCAGCCAACGCTGTGGCCTTTATCAACATCGGTTTCTCTGCTGTTCAAAACACTGAGCTATTGACAAACGCTCTCCTGGTGCATCGTGGGAAATGTAACACAGAAACGTCGTACGTTGTTGTCACGACTGCACGTGCACTGCCACGGACTGAATTGATCAGAAATTCTTTGTGTGAGTCTCCAGTTATATTACTTGGTTATCCTGTTACATTATGGGTGTGTAACCAAACACTTTAGCTGAAACATTAAATTGGTCTTAATTCAATACATTTAACATGAATGGTGAAGCCCAACACATACATTGTAATACATTTCAAAACTGTACTGTGTAGCCTATATATGCTTATTAATTTCATTGATGAATCAATACTTGATACACAACTGTTTTATGATTTTGTTTAATTGTATTTAAACTATAACATGTTTACACAGATGAGCTAGTGTGTGTCAAACAATGCACAATGTGATTGAGTGCAGGAACCAAATAAGGTTGAGAACCACTGAATCAGATGACACACTACTCAAATCCTAAATTAGGAAAGGAAAAGAAAAGAAGAGATGAAAACGGTACTGATGAAAACACCAAGTGCATTTTAGAGTAAAGGTTTATTATACAAAACTAGATCATAGACAAAAGTACGCAACAAAGCAATGATAAAATGAAGTCTGACTGCTCTTAACATCAGAAGGCCTATGTAAGACAAACATCAAACATATCAAATGGTTGTGGATTTCAATATTTTCTCATTCTATTCACAAGGTTTTGAAGAAAAGGAGGACTATAGATAACAGGTCAGCAATAGGGCTGGGAGTTGCCAGGGACCTCATGATTCGATATTAACACGATACTGAGATGCCGATACAATATGTATTGCGATTCTCACAATTCTATATGTATTGCGATTCGATACTGTGATTTTATTGCGATTCGATGTTTCAAACATATTGCTAACCATATGTCTGCTGCAGAGGGACGAGAGAGCCATGAGAACCAGTTTTGGTCAGTCATGGAAATAAAATAGCTAAATTGGCTCCCTATTTAAAAAGCTATGAAGGAAAAATACTGTAGTTTTGGTGCAGGTACAACTAACTAGCGCAAAGATATTGCACAGAATGGTCGCAGGTCACAGGATCCGACACGAATCTCAACTCAAAAAATTTGAATATTTTGTGTTTTTTTTGCAGGGGTTCCCAATCCAACAATGAAGTTGATCACTATCCAAACAATCTGTAAACGTAATAGACATGGGCAATTAATACACAATACATTATAGTCAATATGGTATACCTTTTGAGGCACAGAAGCATATCAGTATGACAATACGAGTAGATTAGCCTCTACAAGATGGCAGATACTTACAGAATCATGCAAAACATCATGAATATGTTCCATAAGGCAATGAAGATCCGGAAGTAGCGTAGACTTAGGAGGAACTCTGATGTTGTCACCTAAAACAAATATGCTATGGCATCATTTCAGATTTATAGAGACCTTCATTGTGTGTTCATGCACCATCATTCAATGCAGCGTACCAATAAGTGCTTCAGCCCAACTCAAATGCTCAGAGGACGGGGTAAAAACGATGCAGTAACATCAGCCATAGCCTGCAGCCTATGTTCTTGAAAAATAGATGATCTATCTCAATGCAGACCTCTTGAGTGTCCCTTCTTTAATTTTCATGAATAGTCACTCTGAACTTTTCTAAGGTGAGGTTTTTTTAATGCACCACACCTGTAGTTGGTCCACGAGGATCATCTCCAAATTCTCCTTGTGATTCCTTTCTCTTCCTGTAATAGAGGACAGTGTTGATTGTCTTGTGTTGATGAGCTAGTAAAAATAATATGTGGTCCAGCAATATTCTCTGTTTAGTGTTACCGGGCACAACTAGCACAATGTCTTCAGGGCAAGACAAAAATTGTATCATACTCACAGTTTGAAGTTTAACACAGCACCAGCATTCATGAGTAAGGTCCTAAAAAGGATGACTTAGAAATTGTTGGAAATTATCACTTTTAATACAGCACTCCAACTTTGGCATTAAGCAAGTCAGGTATGTGGCAATGAGGATAGCTGGTAGTTATGTCTAAACTGGGCTACTGTAGCTCGCTAACGTTAGTGAGCTGGCAAAGAAGGTACTAGCTAGGCTTGCTCAGCCACACATAGGCTTTGCTGGTAAGTTAGCAGTGTTGGGAAAGCTACTCTGAAAATATAATTTACCAAGCTGCCAACTACTTAACACTTGAGGAAGTTAAGCTACACTAAAGCTACCCTTAAGAAACATATAGTTTACTTAACTAAAGTTACTTTGAAAAAAAATACTTTCACAAACTTCTTGGTGAAAAAATATCTCTAAATCTAAAATGTCATAGACTGCAAATTGCAAGACAGATCACTCTGTAGTCAGATGTTAACAGAATGAATGATTTAGCCTATTAAACACAACAACTGAGAATTAGGCACACAAAAAGTGTTTCAAGTGAGAATTAGGCAGGTCTGATGCCAAAAAAAAAAGAAAATGTTTGCCTACTTCACCCATATTTTTGCACAAAAAATAATATTGTAGTTCCAGTAGTTGGTTACACCACTACATGGCAAAAAATGTAATCCGGGGGGTGCTTTACTTGGCCATCGCGCTCTAGCAACTCATTGTGGCAGGCACGACGCCTGCAGGCTGACCTCGGTCGTCAGGTGAACAGTGTTTCCTCCGACACATTGACGCGGCTGGCTTCCAGGTTAAGCGGGCGGGTGTTAAGAAGCGCGGTTTGGCGGGTCATGTTTCAGAGGACGCATGACTCGACCTTCACCTCCCGAGTCCATTGGAGAGTTGCAGCTATGAGACAAGATCGAAATTGGGGTTAAAAATAAAAATTAGTGGCCTTTTATTGTCCCCAGCACAAGGTGCACCTGTGTAATGATCATGCTGTGTAATCAGATTATTGATATGCCACACTTGTCAGGTGGATGGATTATCTTGGAAAAGGAGAAATTCTCACTAACAGGGATGTAAACAAATTTGTGCACAAAATTTGAGAGAAATAATATTTTTGTGCATATGGACATTTTCTGGGATATTTTATTTAAGCTCATGAAACATTGGACCAACACTTTAGATGTTACGTTTATATTGATTTGTGTTCAGTATAGTTGAACTACATGTAGTTCACTACTCCCCAACACTGGAAATTAGCTAGCTTGCTAACAACAACAATCAAACTACACACTGGCTGGTTGAAACAAAAGACCACTATTGTCACATTCCTCGTTGTTAAAATATAATTAGTCTCTTTATTACGTAGTTGTTTTCTTTGGTTTCATAATAAAAAGGCCAGCATTACCCGAATATTAAGAGATCCCCGATAATGTTGTCCACATCACAGGCGCTATACTTCCGCTAACGTCATAAAAAATTGTCGAATGGCTGAAGGGAAATCCTGGGGCGTATTCATTACGCCTATTCGGTTGCAAAACCGTTCTTAAACGGAAGAACACGGAGAGGGACCTACCTGAATTTGTCCAATAGAAACTCTCGTTTTAGTTGTAAAACGTTCCGTTTTGCAACAGTTTGGACTAATGATTACACCCATGGGATATGTTCAGTAGAGAGAACGTTTTGAAAGGGGTAGGCAGCCACATGGAAATATAATCAACCCACATAGGGGGTAATAAATGGAAACAATCAGCTTTGGACATAGGCCTATAGACTCCTATTTTATATTCAGCACCATTTTGACAGCATTTTCATAAATCTACGTGTAACCTAATTTAATCGATTATGAACATCTGTTTTACTAGCCACTAGGGGAAGCCCGTGTGCCAATGTGTAGGCCTACACTAGCTATCGCACCGTTGGTCACAATAAACACATTCCGCACTATATTCACGGGAAAGCTTCCAGCCACCCCATAGGCTTGAGGAGGCTTTTGATTAATGAAATGAGGTTTCAGCCCCTTCATTTCTCATCATTTGGCCAATTTGTTAAACAAATACAATACTAAATGACCGAGGTTCCATGAATAGAATACATCATAAGCCTATTCTATTCTACCTGATTTATTGCAAATGTCTTTATTTTAGGCTACCAGATGCAGGTGCCAGGTGGAATTGTGTCTCTAAATCAATACAAATATTATTATTAATCTGTAATCGTTTCCATTAGCCTGTCAAGATACGATTCTGCACCCGATTTTTCACATCGGGTTCCAATGCCAATTCATTTAGGCTACCTAACCCACGATTTAGGCCTATATAAAAACGTATTATCGTAAAATAAACCGTAAACCTGTATAGTGACATGCGCATTGTGTCTTCTCTTTCTCTCTCCCTCTCTCTCTGTCTGTGTTATTTAAAGAGCACTATGGCAAAGCGTAAATATCTTTATTTTGCCAGCTAACGTTAAAAAATTTGATTAAATAATGTATATAGCTGCATATCTGATAAAAATTGGGGACTCAAAAAGAAAAGCCTACCTGTCATTTTTCAACAGTAGGGACGAGTTGCATGGGGAGCTGACAAATAAGACCAGTTGGCATAGAAAAAACGCTCGGCCGAGAACAAATTATAAAGCTGTGCAGATGAGGTATATTAATAGGAAGGCTTGACTGTCACAGTCTTTTTACTCGTGAAGACGCGGAGCTTCGTGGCGAGTCGCCGGACAACTAACGTTCTAGTTACGCAGTGATCATAAAATACATTTGGTAGTGTTAAATCTTAAATCATGGACGTGTTGGAAGTCCTCAATTTGGGCGATGTAGCCCAAACGTTCTCAAAAATGGGAATGTTTCCCGTTTTTGATCTTGCTTATTACATCGTGTCCATACTCTACCTCAAGTATGAACCAGGTTAGTGGCATTTTTTTCCCTATACATTCATGTTCAAAAAATGAAATCAATAGTTGTAATGGATTTATAATTCTAATTAGGTAGGCTATTGAATATAATACAGGTCAACTTTGAAATAGATGGGTATGTTGAATAGGTTATAACCTAGGCTATATGCGTTGTCAACCCCTGAAAAGTATAACACCAATAGATACATGTACCTATGCAAGTAATAATTTGTCAATTTATACATAGGCCTACTATGGAAATCATTATAAACTTTTGATAACTTGAATGGAATTTTAATTTGTCCAACGAATAACATTTGCAGCAGCAGCTTGGCCTACTTTGAGAGAAGAAGTAAGAAACCCCTACAGGAGTTAGATTAATCCAGTTTCCTTTAATACCTCACATTTCCCAACATTTAGCCCTTTAAACAGAAATGGTCTCCTGTATGAAATCGGATGAGACCCGTTGCATACCAAAGCTTTGGCCCCCATGCAATAAATAGAATGTCCTATAAATAGATGTCAGTGGGCTAGCTACACACTACAGAAAGTCTCTTCTGTTTCGGAGTAGGATTGTTCACAGCCCATGTGTAATGGTTATTGTAAGACCTCATTGACATTGTATTAATCAAAGGTGAAGCTTACAATACTCAATAATATTTTCAGCCAAGCCTCTTAGAGACCAAAAATATGGCCAAAAGCACTGATGTTGGCCTCGAAATGAACATGTCTAATAAAATCCCAGCACTATTGTACCCTTCTGCATTCCCTTGTTCACACAAATAAAGGTAAACTGAATGAAGAAATTGCATTTGTTCATTGTGAAATAAGTTTGAAATTACTTACTCATTGACACATTTTTGTGTTACAAGTAAATGATAGTGGTCTATAAAACCTGGTATCAAAATACTCTCATTCCCTACCTTGCCTCTTTGGCCAAATGTTAGTAAAATCTTAGTAAAGACAGGTGGAACGTTTTTTTTTCTCTCCAGTAATGGTTCAGAGAAGCCGCATGAGTTCCTAGACCTATGTAAAACAATCTCTGAGTCACATGTTAGCAGTGGTTCCCTGGTTCCCCATGAATGAGTTTGGGGGCTGGGGTGTTAAGGGTAAAAGTTTGTGTCAGGCCTGCCAGTTGCGTTGTGAGGCAGGAAAAGCAATAGAGCAACGTGTATTTTTAGGGTGCATTTCTTTGGATCAGTTTTCTGTCAAACAGCAAGCTAATTGGTCCTACACCCAGAATCACACCTGTTCTTTTAGATCTTGACAGTTCTGGCGCCCAGCAGGGGGACTCACACATCCAGATTTACTCTACAATGTTACAACGATCCATAGATGTTTAAAACACTTCATTATAGTAGCTTTGGCTTTTTAAAATTACTTTGGTTGTAGTGAAAAACTTGATTTCTCTTTCCTCGTGACCAGTAACACAAATGAGTCAAGTTAATTAATAATTGAGTAATGGATGAGTAAAAGGATTCAGAGACTTTCTCGTGTGGTGGGTACTGTAACTTTGCCCTTGAGTAACTCACTCAATGGTGGGAGTGACATGAGTGGATCATTGCTGTAATAGTAAACTGCTGGTATACATTTGATGAGAGCTAAGGAAGAACTAACCAAAACATAATAGTACACACGCGCGCGCTAACACTTATAATAACTTTGATGAATAAGCATTATTAAACAATTGATAAACTATTAATAAATGTATACTTCATGATTTACTAACCTCCAAGTTTGTGTGCGTCTGTAAGTTGTTGTACGTATGTGTATGTTTGTATCTGGTGTGGGGATTTTGTTTATGAAAAAATGTGACAATATAATGACTGTAAGTCGCTTTGGATAAAAGCGTCTGCTAAATGGCATATTATATATTATATTATAATATTATTTTAAAAAATTAAAATATTTACTATTGTCCAGAAACATTTATAAGCATTATAAACATTACAAATCATGAGAATGTATTATATTTCAAATGATTTATGAAACATTTATAATGGGTTATTAATTAATGTTACTAAAACGCGTTACCAATGTATAATCTGACTTAATGTGGGGAATATATCTAAATCCTGATTCTTCTGCAGGGTCAGTAGAGGTGGCTCGCAAGAGCCCTGTGGCCTCTTGGCTCTGTGCCATGCTGTATTGCTTTGGGAGCTACATCTTAGCAGACGTTTTGCTCGGCGGTTGCCCCCTGGACTATTTTCAATACAACAGCCACATCCTCCTAGCCTCCATTATTTGGTAAGATTGTTTAAATGGTTAATGTGCTTATCTTCATACATTATTGGTTTAGTGTTTTTTTAGAAAGTGCAAAACCTGTGTCTGTATATGCCTAGGATTGTTGAAATAGGCCAAATTGAATTTGGAGTAACATTGATAGTAATTATTTCAAAATTATTTAGAAATGTTGTTGTCAAATAACAAAACCGCCACAACATTATTAAAATGTACTCTTTTGTTTCTCTCTCGTTCACAAAAATGTAACAATAGGTACCTCATCTTTTTCTGCCCACTTAACCTGTTCTACAAATGTGTGGCATTCCTGCCTGTAAAGCTGGTGCTGGTAGCCTTAAAGGAGGTTGTCCGCACTCGTAAAATCGCCGCTGGCGTGCACCATGCCCATCATGCCTACCATAACGGCTTCCTCATCATGGTCATCATCGGCTATGTCAAAGGTTGGTGTCTCCCTGCACTTCTTCCCTTTGCTACTGCTGCAACCTGTAGGACCTTCCTTGTGAGTGTCCATTTTGTAAAGAAGCGAGATACAGACCTTTGTCCTAATTATTTAGACATTCTATTTACATCCTCCTAGGGTCAGGAGTGGCTCTCATTTCCAATTTTGAGCAACTGCTGCGTGGTGTGTGGAGGCCTGAGACCAATGAAATCCTCAACATGTCATTGTGAGTTGGTTTTCGTCACGACTCTGTGGTTGATGTCAGCTGTCGACATTTGTTGCAGCCTCCTCAAGCAGGATATATATATTTTTTAATGTCTGGTTGTTAGAAATCTAAGCTGTTTCAGGACGACCTAGGAGGTCCCAGTTCTAGTTTTTGACAGCAAGACAATGTTTTCCTATTACAGCAAATAATCTGATATTGATATTTACATCTACAACTTCTGAAGGTATCAGGTAGTTACACAACTGGATTTGAAGTCATTCAAATGCATTTATTGACCCTCTAGGTATCTAAAAGATATGATACATTTGTAAATTGGGCTGAACTATCCTTTTAAAGCTGACAAATGGATAACAATGGATATTTTCTTTCAAGAGAAATGTTGTGACTGTCTGATTTTCATAATATTTTCCCTCTCCAGCCCTACTAAAGCCAGTCTGTATGGATCCATTCTGTTTACACTTCAGGAGGCACACTTGCTTCCCGTGTCCAAGAGCACCCTCATCTGTCTTTTCACTCTGTTCATGGCTACTATAAAGGTAGGTGCTGAAGTCCATACTAGTGAGTGTGCATCAAACATTTACTCAGGGTTTGGGCAAATATGCTTTAACTCAATGTCAAGGCTGAGGTGTATGTGGTGTGGGAGTCAGGCGCAGGACACCGAAGCTTAGTCCAACAAAGTTTACTTGTGAATCACAAGGCAAAGATACAACGATCGGCCTCAAACAAAACAGAGGCGAGCCATTACGCAAACTATGCGTAAAACAATAAAACAACAAAACAGAGAAAAAACACAAGGCACTACGGACAGGAGAAAAACAACACACAACCTAACCAGTACAACTCAGGCAACTTATAGAACACGTAATCAGACACAAACGGACACGGGTGTGACAGACAGACAAAAGCAATCAAACATAGAAACATTCAACGGTGGCAGCTAGTACTCCGGGGACGACAAACGCCGAAGCCTGCCCGAACTAGGAGGAGGAGCAGCCTCGGCAGAATCCGTGAGAGTACCCCCCCCCCTTGGCCGACCCCGGCCTCGGGGACGGCCAGGAGGACGCGGACCCGGGCGCGTGGGATGCCCACGGTGGAACTCCGTCAGGAGGGATGGATCTAGGATGTCCCTCCTAGGCACCCAGCACCGTTCCTCCGGACCGTACCCCTCCCACTCCACGAGATACTGGAGACCACTCATCCGGCGCCTCGAGTCCAAGATGGTCCGGACCCTGTACGCCGGGGCCCCCTCGATGTCCAAAGGGGGCGGAGGGGTCTCTCCTATCTCATGTTCTTGGAGTGGGCCAGCTACCACCGGCCTGAGAAGAGACACATGGAACGAGGGGTTAATATTCTTGTACTCAATAGGCAGTTGTAACCTGTAACACACCTCGTTCAATCTTCTCAGGACTTTAAAGGGCCCCACAAACCACCGACCCAGCTTCCGGCAGGGCAGGCGGAGGGGCAGGTTTCGAGTCGAGAGCCAGACTCGATCTCCCGGTGCGTATACCGGTCCCTCACTGTGGTGGCGATCGGCGCTCGCCTTTTGTTGACGAATGGCCCGCTGCAGATGGACATGGGCAGCGTCCCACGTCTCCTCCGAGCGCCGAATCCACTCATCCACCGCAGGGGCCTCGATCTGGCTCTCGTGCCATGGTGCCAGGACCGGCTGATAACCTAAAACACACTGGAAAGGTGTTAAATTGGTGGAGGAGTGGCGGAGAGAGTTCTGGGCCATCTCTGCCCAGGGGATATACCTAGACCACTCCTCCGGCCGGCCCTGGCAATAGGACCTCAGAAACCTACCCACATCCTGGTTGACTCGTTCAACCTGCCCATTGCTTTCTGGGTGGTACCCCGAGGTAAGGCTCACCGAGACCCCCAAGCGTTCCATGAATGCCCCCCAGACTCTGGAGGTGAACTGGGGACCTCGGTCAGACACAATATCCTCGGGGACCCCATAGTGCCGGAACACGTGGGTAAATAGGGCCTCAGCGGTCTGTAGGGCAGTAGGGAGACCCGGCATAGGAAGGAGACGACAGGCCTTGGAAAACTGATCCACAACGACCAAAATGGTGGTATTCCCCTGGGAGGGGGGTAGGTCGGTCACAAAATCCACCGAGAGGTGGGACCATGGTCGTTGTGGAACGGGCAGGGGATGTAACTTTCCCCTGGGCAAATGTCTAGGCGCCTTACACTGGGCGCACACCGAGCAGGAGGAGACATAAACCCTCACATCCCTAGCTAACGTTGGCCACCAGTATTTCACGCTAAGGCAGTGCACTGTCCGGCCAATACCTGGATGTCCAGAGGAGGGTGATGTATGAGCCCAATAAATAAGGCGATCACGAACCTCGAGCGGAACGTACGTCCGCCCCACAGGACACTCGGGGGGAGTAGGGTCAGTACGCAGTGCCCGCTCGATCTCCGCATCGACCTCCCACACCACCGGAGCCACCAGACAAGACTCCGGCAGTATGGGAGTAGGCTCAATGGACCTCTCCTCTGTGTCATACCGCCGGGACAGGGCGTCTGCCTTACCGTTCTGGGACCCTGGGATGTATGTGATCTTAAAAACAAACCGGGTCAGGAACATGTTCCACCTAGCCTGACGAGGGTTCAATCTCCTAGCTGCCCGGATGTACTCCAGGTTACGGTGATCAGTCAGAATGAGGAAAGGGTGTTGAGCCCCCTCAAGCCAATGCCTCCACACCTTTAGGGCCTGGACTACAGCTAACAGCTCCCTGTCCCCTACGTCATAATTACGCTCCGCCGAGCTGAGCTTCTTAGAATATAACGCACAGGGGCGGAGCTTAGGTGGCGTGCCGGACCGTTGCGACAGGACTGCCCCAATACCGGCCTCGGATGCGTCTACCTCTACTTGGAATGGTAAAGAGGGATCCGGATGCGCCAGCACCGGAGCCGAGGTGAACAGGTTTTTCAGTTTGACAAACGCCCTGTCCGCCTCAGCTGACCACTGCAAGCGAACCGGACCCCCCTTTAGCAGGGACGTAATGGGAGCTGCAACCTGTCCAAAGCCCCGGATAAACCTCCGGTAGTAATTAGCAAAACCCCAAAACTGCTGCACCTCTTTTACAGTGGTTGGAGTTTGCCAATTACGCACGGCCGACACACGGTCAACCTCTATCTTCACACCAGACGCGGACAACCGATAACCCAAAAAGGAGACGGACTCCTGGAAGAACAAGCATTTCTCTGCCTTGACATACAAGTCATGCTCCAACAGTCTCCTCAACACTCGGCGCACCAGGGCTACATGCTCGGCTCGTGTAGAAGAGTACACTAGGATGTCGTCGATGTATACTACCACACCCTGCCCATGCATGTCCCGGAAAATCTCGTCAACAAAGGATTGGAAGACTGAAGGAGCATTCATTAACCCGTATGGCATGACGAGATACTCGTAATGACCCGAGGTGGTGCTAAATGCTGTTTTCCATTCATCCCCCTCCGTAATGCGCACCAGATTGTACGCGCTCCTGAGATCCAACTTTGTGAAGAACCGCGCTCCGCGTAATGATTCTGTCATAGTCGCAATCAGTGGAAGAGGGTAACTGTACTTAACCGTGATCTGATTGAGACTACGGTAATCAATACACGGGCGCAAACCCCCGTCCTTCTTCTTCACAAAGAAGAAACTCGAAGAAACCGGGGAAGTGGAGAACCGTATGTATCCCTGTGCCAAGGACTCGGCTATGTAAGTCTCCATAGCCGCTGTCTCCTCTTGAGACAGGGGATACACACGGCTCCGTGGAAGTGCCGCTCCTGTTTGGAGATCTATCGCACAATCCCCCTGTCTATGAGGTGGTAGCCTTGTTGCCCTCGTTTTGCTGAACACGAGTGCTAAATCCTCATATTCAGGGGGAATGCGCATTGCGGGCACTTGGTTCGGACTCTCTACCGAGGTCGCCCCTAAGGAAACACCTAGACATCTCCCTACACACTGGGCAGACCACTCCATAAGAGCCCTCTGTTGCCACGCAATGGTAGGATCATGGGTGCTTAACCAGGGAAGCCCCAGCACCATGGGATACGCAGGAGAGTCAATCAGATAAAACTGAATGATCTCCTCATGACCCCCCTGCGTCGTCATCTTAAGTGGTGCTGTGACTTCTCTGATCAACCCCGACCCCAACGGCCGGCTGTCTAGGGCATGAACAGGAAAGGGGGCTTCTACCGGCCGAAGGGGAATTCCTAACCTATAACAAAATGCACGATCAACAAAATTCCCAGCTGCGCCTGAATCTACTAGCGCCTTGTGCTGGGAATGAGGTGCCACCTGTGGAAATCTCACAGGTATACTCATGTGACCAACAGAGAGCTCTGGGTAAGTGGGGCGCCTACTCACCTGAAATGACTCCCCAGTGCGTGACCTGTCGTCCCCTCTCCCAGGAGACCCTCCCCAGCACCTGGCCGCGGTGTGTCCTCCACGGCCACAGTTGGTGCAGGGGATGGCCCCCCTCGGGTTCTCTCTCCTCCTCTCTCTAGCGCCAGCACCTCCGAGCTCCATGGGAATCGGCTCGGAGGTGCTGGAGGGTGGAATGGACGACCCCCACTCGGGACGTCCGCGGGTAGCCAGCAGGGTGTCGAGACGGATGGAGATGTCCACCAACTGGTCGAAGGATAGGTTGGTGTCCCTGCAGGCCAGCTCACGACGAACGTCCTCTCGTAGGCTACACCGGTAATGGTCGATGAGGGCCCTCTCATTCCACCCCGCATCTGCCGCTAGAGTCCGGAACTCCAGGGCGAACTCCTGTGCGCTCCTCTTCCCCTGTCGGAGGTGGAACAGACGCTCCCCCGCCGCCTTCACCTCAGGTGGATGATCGAAGACAGCCCTGAAGCGGCGGGAGAACTCCGCGTAGGTGATGGTAGCGGCGTCTATTCCCCTCCATTCGGCGTTGGCCCACTCCAACGCCTTGCCGGATAGACAGGAGATGAGGGCGGAGACGCTCTCGTATCCCGAGGGCGCTGGGTGTATGGTGGCCAGGTAGAGTTCCACCTGCAGGAGGAACCCCTGACACCCGGCTGCAGAACCATCATATGCCCTCGGGAGCGAGAGCCGAATGCCACTGGGTTCCGGTGCTGGGAGAGGAGGACTGGCCGTGTGTGATGGTATGGTGTGGGAAGGCGTGGGCACCTCTCCCGTAACCAACCGGCGCAGAGTGTTGGACACCTCGTTCATGGCGGCCCCAAGTTGCCGGATCATGGTGTCTTGGTCGCTGATCCGATCCTCCAGCGACTTGGGTGCCGCCGCTGCTCCTGCTGACTCCATACTGGTGTGTTGTTCTGTCAAGGCTGAGGTGTATGTGGTGTGGGAGTCAGGCGCAGGACACCGAAGCTTAGTCCAACAAAGTTTACTTGTGAACCACAAGGCAAAGATACAACGATCGGCCTCAAACAAAACAGAGGCGAGCCATTACGCAAACTATGCATAAAACAATAAAACAACAAAACAGAGAAAAAACACGCAGCACTACGGACAGGAGAAAAACAACACACAACCTAACCAGTACAACTCAGGCAACTTATAGAACACGTAATCAGACACAAACGGACACAGGTGTAACAGACAGACAAAAGCAATCAAACATAGAAACATTCAACGGTGGCAGCTAGTACTCCGGGAACGACGAACGCCGAAGCCTGCCCGAACTAGGAGGAGGAGCAGCCTCGGCAGAATCCGTGACACTCAAGAAATTGTGCAAATTAATTAACAAAAATCCTTATGGAAAATAATTGTCAATACCCAGTTCATGGATTGAATGTAGATTAATATTTTGAACAGATTTTTAAATGGAATTGATCTCGACCCTACTACAGTATTACATACCTCTCCCTTCCTATTGTTTGCTATTAGTATCAGCAATTAAACAAACTTGATAGTGATCCTACTCTATGGCAATTTAGTTGTCTCAACTAGAAATTACACAAACTAAGTAAATCTTTTCACACTTATGATTTCTATTTCACTCAGGTGATTTTGACCACCCGCCACTCTCATGGGTCTCCCTTCGTCCTCATCGAGTCTTGGGTGTGCCACTTGCTCTTTGGCTCCCCTCTTGGAGGTGGTGAGGAGGAGCACCATGCTGCCCCTGCCCCCGTCACCCCTGTCTCACCAGTCAAAACCAAGGAGGAGCTCAGCGAAGGCACCCGCAAGAGGAAGTCCAAGAAAGCAGAGTAGAACGCAAACTACTACACCAGTGAAGGGGGGAAAAAGGTCCCCCCATCCCCAAAATGCATCTGATCTCCCCTCATGGTCCAGCCTTCTGTTTACAGTAGACATGATGGAGTCTCCCATTCCTTGCTTGGGAAAGGTGCAGTTTGATGTTTACCAAATGAGGCCCTTTCTATTGAAGCAAATGGTGCTTTCTATGTCATATTACACAGTATGTGGATTCTGTAAATAGCTCACCAGTCTCACACTTAAATCATCATCCCAGCCAGTACATATCTACTTATTTATTTATGTATTTACTTTTCTTCTGTGAACATCTCTGCTACTGTGTGCAACAGCATGTGGTGAACAGTGTACTGCAAGTTACATGATTGTTTTAGGATGGCCTTTGTTTCAAGTGCTTCTGCTGTTAGTTATCAATGTTTTTGGTTTAAACCCAGTCAGACCTATTTTAGTAATGTAAAGAAATTGGATCAAAAGCACAATCTGACACTAGATCAGATGATCAGACAACAGAATCAATCAGACAAAAATATAATGTGAATAACACATGGCTGCTTTTTACAAAGAAAACAAGTGAGATTAATGTCCTTTATTAATAAAGGCAAGTCAAAATTCTTATGTGGTGAGAGTTTTTGATTCAGTTGTTTACAATGATATTGCTATATGTTGTTAATGGTTACTGTAAAAAAAAGAAAGTATGAGGCTGCTGGACATTCATACAGAAATGTGCAATATAAAATTACAATTCATTTTGTTTACAAAAGAGAGGGTCACACTACCAGACAGAGCCAAATAGTATGAGGGCAAACTGCCACTGTACCCACATACAACACATGAAATGATTCCCTGACAAAATAAAGGTTCATAAAATAAATACATTTTTTAACAAGTAACCATTTCAAAGAAACAACAGATGTAGGTATTTAAGGAGAAAGTTGCATGTCTTGATATACTTTTCCATGAAGAAGTTGAACATATTCAAAAGTGCAGTGTCATTACAAAAGCATCTTCAGGGGTTGTCATACTGAATTCAAAATTGTGTTGTAACCTGAAGCTACCTCTGTGTTTGTTTGCCCTAGTCCTACTTCCTGTCCTTTGTAGTATGGCTAATGAACCATCACTAATTAACTTTACAGAAGGTCACAACCCCTGACCTCTGACCTTACAGTCCTCTCAGACAGTGGAGGCTGCTGAGGGGAGGACGGCTCATAATAATGGCTGGAATGGAGTCAATGGAATGGTATCAAACGTGGTTTCCATGTGGTTGATACCATTCAATTGACTCCATTCCAGCCATTACTATGAGCTGTCCTCCCCTCAGCAGCCTCCACTATCTCAGCAGTAGATGAGATCACTGACCAAGCACAAGCATTCCCTTTATTTTCCCTTCTCATAGAAATGCTAGCTTGTTTTGTATGTACCTCAATCACATCTCAAATACATAAACAATGCTGTTTTTCAATTGAAACCAAAAGTAATCACTAAGGACGCTTCACTGAGTATAGAAAACATTACACATGCTCTTTCCATGACAGACTGACCAGGTGAATCCAGGTGAAAGCTATGACCCCTTACTGATGTCACTTGTTAAATCCACCCTTCATTCAGAGGGTGAATGGGCAAGACAAAAGATTTGAACAGGGTATGGTAGTAGGTGGCAGGCGCACCGGTTTGTGTCCAGAACTGCAACACTGCTGGGTTTTTCACGCTCAGCAGTTTCCCGTGTGCAACTCAATATTAGGAAGGTGTTCCTAATGTTTGGTATACTCAGTGTATTGTGGACACCTTGACAGATTCAGTGTACTCTCAGTTTCTTCAACTTGGCTAAGACTTTAAACACACAGTTTAAGGAAATAGCAATGTTTTTCCAGAGTTGGATTTCAACAATAAAAGGTGACTTGCAAGGAAACAAGTCATGCATCACCTTGTTTCCTGCCAACCTTCAAGTCCATGTCCAAAAAAACAAGGAAACGTCAACATCTTGGGAAAGAGATGCCTACAAGCCTCACCCAACACCAAGCCATCCATTTTTATTTACCCTCTGATAGATAACTGTAGGGAGAGTCGAACAGACAGTCAAATGTAGTGTCATTTGTTTCCTTTCTGACCAGCGAAGCGTTCAAGCCAGTAGCGAAGACAGAAGTCAGTGATTCTTGATTTGTTTTTCCAGCGAGGGACCAGGAGGAGGCTTCTCTGATGCTGAGGGTTAGGCAGGGAGCTAGGATAAATGTACTGGAAGTCATGAAATCCAGTCAAGGTGCATGCACCACAAAGCCTCAGGGGTGCCTGCACTGGAATGTAACCAACATCTGTTGGTTCCATTACTGGCAAACAAGACATACAACACACAAATCCACCAACGCAAATGAGTTCAGCTTTCCATGCAGTCAGTGGTAAATCAGAGTTCAAGCAAAATCTGGAATGGATCTGAATCCCTTTTTCCTTTTACAAAAGGTGTGATGTACACAAGAGGTTTACCCAATAGACAACCTGATGAGGAACATACTCATCATTCAAGTACATTTTCTAACATTATACATTTACATCATTTAGCAGACGTGCTTATCCAGAGCGACTTACAAATTGGATAGATGATTGAAGAGTTGAGGCATGGTTAGTTTCAGTTCGTGCTGCATTTTGGTTCCCCTAATATTGTTTTCCTATGTATTTATACAACTCAATATTAGGAAGGTATTCTTAATGTTTTGTACACTCAGTGTATACTGGTTGAGATATTGGTCACATTTTATTTGGATAGTCTGGATTTTCCATCTATAGATGCTCTACAGATGGTCATACGATCAACAAACTATCTGTTGACAAGCAACTGCTTGCTAAGGTTACGTTTAGGGTTAGGTTTAGAATAAGAGTTAGGGTGGGTTAAGGCTAGGGTTAGGGTAAGGGTTAAGTTTAGGGTTAGGTTAAGGTTAGGGTTAGAGCTAGGGTTAGGGTTAGTAGATAGTTAGTTGAAATGTTACTGATAGTCTGTAGAGCATTTATAGATGAACTATCCAAATAAAGTGTCACAAAGATATCTTAACCTGGTTGTAATAGAGACAAGTTAGTTGTAATCTGGTTACATTACTTCTTCTCTGTCAGAAAACCATCTTACAACCAGAAAATGACAACCATTGTGTGTGTATCATCATTATCAATTAACAAAGTTAAGAGGACCATGTTTTTGGGCCAGTGATGGGCTTCTATGTTACGTGGACATTCCTAAATGAAGGCTACCAGAGGACCTCCTGGGTGGAGGTGATGTCACTCTACGAGACATGTATAAAAGGCAGGCAGGAGAAGAGCCAGATCCCACTCTCTCTCAGACTCTCCTAACCCTGCTACAGGAGCCTTCCCTGATCCTTCTTAAAGACAGAGGGCAGAATTTGGATGAAGGACCTGGTCGAACCGCACCAGACTTCACACAGTGGCACCACACTTCATATACCTTTACCTGTCTGTCGCTGTAGAGACGTCGAAGGGCAAATGAGAACATGCTGCGGATCCTGGTGTTGGTGATTTCGCTGAGTGTGAGCAGTGACCTAGTAGCTGGTCAGAGAGGTATGTCTATCATTATTTTAGTATCTTTAGTGAAAAAAACTTAATAGCACAAAATGTATACTTTTATGTCAAAAATGTTTGGAGAGATTCAAAAGTTATTTCAAGTGGGTCTGGTAACACTGATAACAGTGTCCTGAATAAGTCATTTATAAATGATAATAAATGCTTCATAAATTATTATAAATGCTTATGAATTGTAATGCTTATAATGCTTATACATTTATCTAAATGTTTACAAATAATGAAATACTAAATTGTTTATTAATGCTTATTAATAAATGTTATTATAAAGTGTTGCCAACTTCAGAGGCGTGAGATAATATTTGTTTGAAGCCTGCACTTTTATGCCTATGATAAATGTCAAATAAATGTCCTGTCAATGGCACGTAAAATCATATTAGTCTAAAATGCAAAGTCTATTTGACAATCATCCCAATTCAATGTAACTATTTTCATTTAGCATATTCCTGAAATAGAACACAAATTAATTCAGCATCAATTTGCTAAACTGAATTCGTCAGTCCTATCATCTACATGGCCAATGGGCTGATTCACTTTCACACTTTGAAAAACAAATTGGCAGTTTATGCTGTTGAGCAACTTGTCAGTCAGGCAATGTGACTAAATCACACCAGGCTATCCCAGCATCCTATTCATCTGGGACACCTCTTCCTTGGAAAGGCCCAGACCCCAGGGCCTGTAAATCTAACTTCCACAGGAGTCCATAAATTAAGACTTAAAGTGAGTGACGATGCCATGATTCTTGCCATCAACTGTTAAACCAAACCACAGGCTGTGGCTGCTCTGTTCTTTCCAAGCTCCTGTTCTATATCTTTCACGTTGCAGTGAGTGTGAAAAATAAGAAATTCAATTTCAATCAAGTCTTTATTATCCCATATTTGAGAAAATTGGTATTGTAGCGGTATTAAAAAACGATTTGGCACAAAACCCACAACATCTTAGTCTCTGTATTTATGTATGCATGTGATTCAGGCCCACAGATAGTCTTGGAATGCCAGCTCCTGTGGCAGGGGGATAGTAGTGCAGGTAGTAAAGATGATGAATGGGCAGTGGATGATGTTGTTTTATAAAGGGACATCTGCATAGTGCATCCCCAACTCATTGCATAATGATGACTTGCGTCAGCCACAGATGTGCATCCAAGACAATGTCACAGGAAGAGTAATGAGGTACGAGCAGGAGGTTTGTGACCCACCTGACGTTCAGTTTCAACATGAGGAGGACTTTGGTGGGGTTGACATTAGTTAGAGTTTATCTTGCCATCCTATAATGGTAACACTCCATTTACCTAAAATGTATATCCTGTCTGCTGACTTGAGTTATTTTGACTTTGGTTGAAACCGAGTGTGCTGGAATAGGAATACAAGTGGGAGTATGTTTTCAAAGATGATCTGTCCATTGCTAATGTATGAAACAACCATAGCTGTGTGCACATCCATCGCTAATAAAGTATTGTGAAATGTTTCATTTTCAAACTCAGATGGGGAAATCATTAATCAGATCAAGGGAACGAATCAAGCTCTGGCTGAGATTAAAGAACTGCTGAAGCAACAGGTAAAGTCACGTTTTGGACATACAGGGCAACTCTTATTGAGGATGTTAGATTCAGTAAATGGTCCCATGCAGTATAATGTGAACTAATAGTGTATTTGTACCCAGTGGTGTAAAGTACTTAAGTAAAAATACTTGAAAATACTACTTAAGTAGTTTTTTGGGTATCTGTACTTTTCTTTAGTATTTATATTTTTGACTACTTTTACTTCACTACATTCCTAAAGAAAAGAATGTACTTTTTACTCCATATATTTTCCTTGACACCCAAAAGTATATTTTGAATGCTTAGCAGGACAGGAAAATGGTACAATTCACGCACTTATCAATAGAACATCCCTGGTCATCCCTACTGCCTCTGATCTGGCGGACTTACTAAACACACATGCTTAGTATGTAAATGATGTTGGAATGTGCCTCTGGCTATCCGTAAATTTAAAAAAAAATAAGAAAATGGTGCCGTCTGATTTGCTTATTATAAGGAATTTGATACTTTTGATACTTAAGTATATTTTTGTAATTACATTTACTTTTGATACTTAAGTATATTTTAAACCAAATACTTTTAGACTTTTACTCAAGTAGAACTTTACTGGGTGTCTTTTACTTTTACTTGAGTCATTTTCTATTGAGGTATCTTTACTTTTACTCAAGTATGACAATTGGGGACTTCTTCCACCACTGTTTGTACCTCCATGCAGATCCAAGAGCTTGTTTTCCTGAAGAACACAGTGATGGAGTGTAAAGCCTGTAGTGAGTAGCATTGGCCAGCCTGCAGAAATAGATATTCCAGTTGGATGTCAGTAAACATTGTGTAAACATCTATTAATCAAGCTAGAGCTCTTTCAGGCACAAAATATTATTCCACATTTTGTTGTGTTACAGTCTGAATTCAACATTGATTAAATATATTTATTCTCACCCATCTACACACAATACCAAATAATGACAACGTGAAAACATGTTTTTAGACATTTTTGCACATTTATAAAAAATGACTAATTTACATACAGTACCAGTCAAAAGTTTGGACACACCTACTCATTCCAGGGTTTTATTTATTTTTACTATTTTCTACATTGTAGAATAATAGTGAAGACATCAAAACTATGGAATAACACATATGGAATCATGTAGTAAAAAAAGTGTATATTTGAGATTCTTCAAAGTAGTCACCCTTTGCCTTGATGACTGTTGGAAAAGCATTCCAGGTGAAGCTGGTTGAGAGAATGCCAAGAGTGTGCAAAGCTGTCATCAAGGCATAGGGTGGCTATTTGAAGAATCTCAAATATAAAATATGTTTTGATTTGTTTAACACTTTTTTGGTTACTACATGATTCCATATGTGCTATTTCATAGTTTTGATGTCTTTTTTATTCTACAATGTAGAAAATAGTAAAAATAAAGAAAAACCCTTGAATGAGTAGATGTTCTAAAACCTTTGACCGGTAGTGTAAATGTAATCCATTTTAAATTCAGGCTGTAACACAACAAAATGTGGAAAAAGTCAAGGGGTGTGAATACTTTCTGAAGGCACTGTACATTACACATAGTACAGACATCAATATCAACACCATGATTGCTATTTCAATTGCATGTAAATATGGTACATTAATCATACCATTGTGCTCTCATGTACTTTTTAAAATCTATCCAGCACATACATAAACGAATGAATATGTCATGGTAAATGGATCTGCAATGGCAAATGTAAACAAATAGAATATGCCATGTTTCATAACCTGCAGAAGATGGAGACATTGTACAGGAGAGTGCTCCAGGTCTACTGGGTTGATGTATCATCCTCTCCCCCCTAGGCATGCGAGGTCCCCCTCGCACATCCTGTGACCCTAACCCCTGCCACCCGGGGGTACAGTGCATTGAGACCGCCGGGGGCATCAAGTGTGGCCCCTGCCCTGAAGGCATGGTGGGCAATGGTACCCACTGCACTAATGTGGATGAGGTAGGACAGGACTCTTGAGCAAAAGGCACCCCAAAATGTCACATAGTATTCTGTAGTGCAGGGATCAACTGTATCAGCGTTTCCCAAACTTGGTCCTCGGGACCTTAAGGGGTGCACGTTTTGGTTTTTGCCCTAACACTACACAGCTGATTCAAATTCAAAGCTTGATGATTAGTTGATTATTTGAATCAGCTGTGTAGTGCTAGGGCTAAAACCAAAACATGCACTCCTTGGGGTCCCGTGGACCAAGCTGTTTTCTTCTTGAGCGGATGGACGGGGGGCCAGAACATAATTTACAAATAATTTTTAGACTGCAAAAGCCCAAACAGATATAACTAATAATTTGACTAAAACATAATAATTTCAAACCTTGTTTACATTTGTATACAATCACGTCTTTCTGTTATGCGTGGGAATATTTGGGAACAGATTTCCAAAATTAAAATAAATTTGAGCTGATTTCCTGGTGTTTTTACAGTGTTTTATGTCCAACAATGAAAATTCCCCCCCAAAAGAATACAAAATAATTATTAGTTTTTGCTCAGAAACTTGGGGGGGGGGGGGGGGGGGGGGGGGGATGGGGGGGGGAACCCTGCTGTAGTGGGTCTAAACTGAAATACGATAATGTACTCACTCAGAGTATGTGTTACTATTGTGTATGTCAGGGTTCTTCAATTCCGGTCCTGGAGGGCCGAAACACTTCTGTTTTTTATTTCTACCTGGTAGTTAATTGCACTCACCTGGTGTCCCAGGTCTGAATTAGCCCCTGATTAGAAGGAGAGGATGAAAAACAGGTGTTTCGAGGTGTTTCGGCCCTCCAGGACCGGAATTGAAGAACCCTGGTGTATGTTGTTTGGTTTTTAAAGAGCCACTGAACACCCGGATTGGCATGTGTGTTTTGCTGTTGCTCATTAGAAAAACGAGATTTCAGCCTTGGCGGTGTGTTTCCTGACCGATTCCACGTTTGGTTAATGATGTTTGTCCCTCATGACACACTGTAAACGCGGAAGCCTATTTCACTTCCTCAAAATCCCCAGAATGATTCTAAGATATAGATTTTTTCAGTTAATTAATTTTGATGTTTTTGCAGAGGATGTTTTAGTTGTGCAATTTTACATCTAACTATGGTGTTTGGTGCAGTATTTCTCAAGTTGGAAAATGCACGACATGTTGTCTTATGTAAACAAAGTCGGAGCTGCAGGGTAGGTCTTTCTCACTGTCTATGCTATTGGATAAACAGCAGCTGTTCACCCCATGTTAATGGGCAAATGGACACTGTCAAATCAAAACCCAACCTTCATTTACCCGTTGTGATGCACGGATGTTCCAAACTTCGTTTTAGATGAGACTGACTTTATGACCAAAATTATCCTATTTACACTTTGTAGTCAATTTTGACAGTAGAATAACTGTTTCTGGCTCATATAGATGCCACATAGGCCGTTTTCAAAGGGATTCGTTGCTTTTTAAAGGCAGTCGCTCTCTAAATCAACTGTTAGATTATCTCAATGGCATATTCCAATTCAAATACCTATTGAACAGTCAAATTTGAACATGGATACTACTGCCCTCTCTCCTGTGTGTGTAGTGTGTTGTGAAGCCCTGCCACATGGGTGTGCGCTGCATCAACACCTCTCCAGGGTTCCGCTGTGGCCCCTGTCCCACTGGCTACACTGGCCCCCAGGTGCAGGGTGTAGGCCTCTCCTACGCCACTAAAAACAAACAGGTAGCAATTTTGAATTTCGACACCCACCATCTCAGATTGTTCTGAAATCGTTTCGATAGATACAGATACAATTAGCATTCCTGAAACATACATTTTGTTGAAATATAATTTTCTCTGCGAAATTAAGCTAATTGATTGCACCCAAATTGGCCATTTTAATTTATAGGATTCAGATATTTAATAAAAATAGTACCCAACATCCGATTTGGACTAAACTAAATCTAATTTTAGGGTCAAAAGCCACCCACGGACCCCCCCACACCAATCCCACCACAACAACCAGTAAACAGTATCAGTTTTCTATGTAGTGTGAAGCTGTGGCTTGCAGTATTGCTTCTCCATACTATGTAAATGTTTTCCCTGTGAATCTGGTGATGGTTTTTCCCCGTTCATAGAAATTAGTCATTGAAGTCACTTGCATTATTTACCATAAAGAAGTGTGAAAGTACCAGGTTTTCACCACTAGATGCCACTGCTACTGCTATTCCGCCACACTCTTTTATCAATTTTGCTGGTCTCTTGTGTTTATTAAAGATATTTCCTTTGCAACCTAGGGTAGAAAACCAACAGATTTGTCTCATTATGAAAATTGTGTGGTCATCCTCACAATTCAAGCCAGTCCTTAATGAAAGCAATTCAGTTTGTGCTAATAGCAACCTAATGCTTCTACCCAACTCTCCTTGAATAGTCCAACAAGTGGCTGCTTTTTGAGAGGGCTATTCCTATGCAATTCTCATATGAAGACTTTTCCTACAAGCCCAAAACTATAATGGAGAAAGGGGCTAGGGATTAAAATGTTGTGACAACCCTAATAAAATAATGAATTGCATGGCAGTCTTTGTTTTTCAATAAAATGATCAGTAAACATTTCTAAATGTATTGTGATTAGTGACATTCACCATTGAACCCAACGCAATACAATACCATTACAATTGCAAAACACTATAAAATGTGTGTTTGGGACGTTTACTATTGAAGACCATTAGAGACCATAACATTGAACTGATGTAACCAATGGTTTGCTTGTTCACCAGGTATGGTTTAACAGTAACTAATCCAGCCCTTTTTTGAAGGGGACACATATTAAGCGTAAAAGAACAACACAATTATTTACTTTCATGCAGGATTGGCTTGAGTTGTGAGGATGACCACACAATTTATTTTAACCATGAGCCAAATCTATTGGTTTTCTACCCAAGGTTACACTTTTTGGGGGGCTGATCTATTTGATAAACACAAGAGACCAGCGAAATTGATTTTTTTTAAAAAGTGTGGCGGTATAGCAGGAACAGTGGCATCTATACTGAATAACGCAACATGTAACAATTTCAAAGATTTGACTGAGTTACAGTTCATATTAGAAAATCTGTCAAATGAAATAAATTCATTAGGCCCTACTCTATGAATTTCACATGAATATAGATATGCATCTGTTGGTCACAGATACCTTACAAAAAAGGTAGGGGAATGGATCAGAAAACTAGTCAGTATCTGGTGTGACCACCATTTGCGTCATGCAGCGCGACGCATCTCCTTCGCATAGAGTTGATCAGGCTGTTGATTGTGGCCTGTGGAATGTTGTCCCACTCCTCTTCAATGGCTGTGTGAAGTTGCTGGATATTGGCGAGAACTGGAACACGCTGTCGTACACGTCGATCCAGAGCATCCCAAACATGTTCAATCGGTGACATGTCTGGTGAGTATGCAGGCCATGGAAAAACTGGGACATTTTCAGCTTCCAGGAATTGTGTACAGATCCTTGCGACATGGAGCTGTGCATTATCATGCTGAAACATGAGGTGATGGCAGCAGATGAATGACAAGACAATGGGCCTCAGGATCTCGTCACAGTATCTCTGTGCGTTCAAATTGCCATCGATAAAATGCTATTGTGTTCGTGGTCCGTAGTCCGTAGCTTATGCCTGCCCATACCATAACCCCACCTCCACAATGGGGCACTCTGTTCACAACATTGACATCAGCAAACCGTTCAACCACACAACGCCATACACGCTGTCTGCCATCTGCCCGGTACAGTTGAAACCGGGATTAATCCGTGAAGAGCACACTTCTCCAGCGCGCCAGTAGCTATCGAAGGTGAGCATTTGCCCACTGAAGTCGGTTACGAAGTTGAACTGCAGTCAGATCAAGACCCTGGTGACGACAATGACCACGCAGATGAGCTTCCCTGAGACGGTTTCAGACAGTTTGAGCAGTTTCATCAGCTGTCCATGTGGCTGGTCTCAGACGATCACGCAGGTGAAGAAGCCAGATTTGGAGGTCCTGGGCTGGCGTGGTTACACAGGCTCTGCGGTTGTGAGGCCGGGTGGACGTACCACCAAATTCTCTAAAACGACATTGGTAGAGAAATGAACATTCAATTCTCTGGCTACAGCTCTGGTGGATATTCCTGCAGTCAGCATGCCAATTGCACGCTCCCTCAAAACTTGAGACATCTGTGGCATTGTGTTGTGTGAAAAAACGGCACATTTTAGAGTGGCCTTTTATTGTCCCCAGCACAAGATGCACCAGTGTAATGAGGGCTGTTTAATCAGCATCTTGATATGCCACACCTGTCAGGTGGATGGACTATCTTGGAAAGGAGAAATGCTCACTAACGGGGATGTAAACAAATTTGTGCACAACATTTGAAAGAAATACCCTTATGCGTATGGAACATTTCTGGGATCTTTTATTTCAGCTCAGACCCACACTTTACATGTCACGTGTATATTTTTGTTCAGTGTAGTAGTAAAAACCTGGTACTTTCACACTACTTTATGGTAAATAATGCAAGCGACTTCAATTACTAATTTATCTGAACAGGGGAAGAAAACATCACCAGATTCACAGGGAATACATTACATAGTATGGAGAAGCAATACGCCAATATGCAGCTTCATACTACTTGTCAAACAGAGAACTGATACTGTATACTGGTTGTTGGGGTGGGCTTGATATGGGGTGTAGAGGGTCCGTGGGTGGCTTTTGACAATTTTTTGGTAGGAAGAAGTTTGGTCCAAATCGGATGTTGGGAACTATATTTATTTGAATTATCTGAATCTTATAAATTAAAATGGCCAATTTAGATGCAATCAATTAGCAACATTTCTGAGATAAAATTACATTTCAACAAAATAATGTTTCAGGAATGCCAATCTTATCTGTTTGTAACTACAGAAGCAATTTCAGAACGATCTGAGATAGTGGGTGTCATGGCTTGCTGAAATGACATGGAACGACTCGCTGGCATTTGTAAGGTTTTGCTTGAAGATGGAAGATTTATGCATTAGGGCTTTCTTTTGTATTTGAATCCTACCCAGGTCTGTAAGGACATCAATGAATGCGAAGGACCCAAGAATGGCGGTTGTGTGGAAAATTCCAACTGTGTGAACACACCTGTAAGTATCATTAAAAGTCGATGCCACTCAAATATATATCTCATTAGGAAATCCAGAGGTCTTTCCTCTCTTAGGTTTTGAGGGGGGAACTAAGTTTCTGCTGTGGTGGCTGTGTGTTGTTGTCAGGGCTCGTTTAAGTGTGGCCCTTGTAAGGCAGGCTATGTTGGGGATCAGCTCAAGGGCTGTAAGCCTGAGAGAGCGTGTGGTAATGGCCAGCCCAACCCCTGCCATGCCAGCGGAGAGTGCATTGTCCAACGAGATCGGAAAATTGTGTGTCAGGTAATTGGATACAATTCTGTTGCAATGGATCAATATGAATTTGAATACAGCCTAAATGTATACTGCTCCTTTAACATATTTTGTCTATAGCTTTCTTTTGGATGCAGATTGCTCTCTATTGATTCAGCTGCTGTAGCTGAAATGGAATTGAATGCTAATTGACATTCCATATACAATACAGTACAGTCCATAACTCTGACTTTATCCTGATTCACAGTGTGGGGTGGGATGGGCTGGCAATGGCTACTTCTGCGGCTCTGATATTGACATTGATGGCTTCCCTGATGAGAAACTGGAATGCACCGAGAGGAACTGTGCCAAGGTAATATATTTGTATATCCTTGAAAAGACTACGAAAATCCATGACTATACTATTTTGAATGTGAACGGAAAAAAAGCAGAAAATTAAGTCACTGTTATATGCTTTATATACTTACTTTTAGGATAACTGTCTAACAGTACCCAACTCTGGCCAAGAGGATGCAGACAAGGATGGCAAAGGAGATGCCTGTGATGAGGATGCAGATGGGGATGGAATCCTAAATACACAGGTTACTGATCTCTTTCTCCAGCAACTGATGTTTTGCTGTGTCATGTTTACGACAGGTCTTTTCACTGATTTTGTATCTTAGTGTAAAGACAGGCTCTGATGCCTCTTTGGTAGGACAACTGTGTGCTGGTACCAAATGTCAACCAAAGAAATGTGGACGAAGATGACTTTGGAGACGCCTGCGACAACTGCCGTATGATCAAAAACAATGACCAGAAAGACACTGATGTTGATAGACTGGGTGATGAATGTGACGAAGACATTGATGGCGACAGTAAGTGTGCATGTAGAGTTCTGCCATATCGGTCATTCATGTCAATTGACATGTCAACTACTGTTACCTACTTCCAGGAATCCCCAATAATCTGGACAACTGCAAAAGGGTTCCCAATGCTAACCAGAAGGATCGAGATGGGGACAAAGTCGGAGATGCTTGTGACAGTTGCCCCTACGTTCAAAACCCTGACCAGGTCTGGTTTCTGATTTCCATGTTTGGCTGTACTTGTATTCATCCTAATCATTACGGCATGTTGTACCAGAATGACAACTATCGATGTTCGAGTGATATTTTATGTGTTTGACACAGTTGGATATGGACAACGATTTGATTGGAGACCCTTGTGACACCAATAAGGACAGGTATAGGAGTGTTACTAGCTTTCTTGTTGCCTCCCTGCCTTTAACCAGTGTAGACCTGTGCGTGGTGTTCCAATCTATTGGTACGCCATTACTAAAAACGACCTAACACTCCTTATTTTATATGTTATGTAATGACTTTGGTTTGACACATCAACTTTCAGAATCCCACAACAGTGAGGACAACTGTAAAATGGTTTCCAATGCTGAATCCTACCCCTCGGTCTTGGTCTCCTTGTGTTTTTCTCTACTATTCTCAGTGATGGTGACGGTCACCAGGACTCTCAGGACAACTGCCCTGCAGTCATCAACAGCTCCCAGCTGGACACGGACAAGGACGGCCTGGGGGACGAGTGTGACGATGATGATGATGATGATGGTATTCCTGACCTTCTGCCCCCAGGACCGGACAACTGTCGCCTTATCCCCAACCCTCTGCAGGAGGACTCTGACGGTGAGTTCAGCACTTTTTCAGTCCAGTTTCCAAAAAGTTATCCAATATATCTGTGTAATGTTGACAGTAATATTATCCGGTGTCTTAAAAGTCACATATTGCATCAATCTCCTTGTTACAGGTGATGGTGTTGGGAACGTGTGTGAGAACGACTTTGACAACGACACCATCATTGACAGCATCGATGTGTGCCCGGAGAACGCTGAGGTCACTCTCACAGACTTCAGGGCCTACCAGACAGTGGTGCTGGACCCAGAGGGAGACGCACAGATAGACCCTAACTGGGTGGTGCTCGATCAGGTATGTGTATACAGATGTAGGATCTTAATTTAAGCCAGTTTGCTATAGCAGGAAAATAATCATGTAGCAACTTTTGTAGGGGTTGATACATTTTTCGTTAGGTCAAATCAAGTTTGAAATGTCAAAGTGGAAATTGCAAACTTTAGAAGCCTTTTTAAAACTCAAATACACTTCAAGTTTGCATTTCCTGCTATGCAGGAAAATTCTCAGCAACAAAAAAGTAATCAAATTAAGATCCTACATCTGTATTGATGCATGCATTACATCTAATACAATAAGTCCAAGGGTGTTACAGTATATACAAATCAGTGCCAACCCACTGGGCACAGATGTCAGTTCAACGTCTATTCCACGTTGGTTCAACGTAATTTCGTTGAAATGACGTGGAAACAACGTTGATTCAACCAGTGTGTGCCCAGTGGCAAGAGACATTTTAACTGCTTAAGTTCCATAATCTTCTCTGTTTCTCTTTCCACAGGGAAGAGAGATCGTCCAAACTATGAACAGTGACCCTGGACTGGCTGTTGGTAAGAGCAACAATCACGCGGTCTCACGTTGGATTCATTCAATAAATCAAGTTGTATGTGACATTCTCAAACGCATCCTGACCCAAACTCACGCCATTCCTTCAAGGTTACACAGCTTTCAACGGCGTTGACTTCGAAGGGACATTCCATGTGAATACCGTAACGGACGACGACTATGCAGGGTTAATCTTTGGCTACCAGGACTCTTCCTCCTTCTATGTAGTGATGTGGAAACAGGTTAAGCAAATCTATTGGCAGGCCAATCCATTCAGAGCTGTGGCAGAACCAGGGATCCAACTGAAGGTACAACAAAATCCTATACGCACATCTTATATGACTATTATCTAGTCATGTAGTAAAAGTCACTTATGTTAATATACATATGTAGGATCTTAATTTGACCAGTTCTCACATTAGGAAAATAATCCTGCAGCAATCGGAAATGTGAAATATTGTGTGGATTATAATTAATGGAAGAAAAAACCCCACTGGGCACAGACGTCAATTCAACGTCTATTCCACGTTGGTTCAATGTAATTGTGAAGAAATGTCCGCAACTCCGATATGCTCCTATGGTGATTTAAATCAGACGTACAATAAACACAACATTTTTGTGCGTCTGATTAAATCACCATGGGAGCATACCAGAGTTGCGGACATTCCTTTTTTCTTTGATATGTTCTTCTGTCCTGCACCTGATAATTTGGATGTGCATATTTTTCTATTTTGTCTATTACAATTATAGCACATTTTCAGTTTTCCCTTCCCCACTCAAACCACTCCCAGAGAGTCCTAGCAAAATTATTGCTTGAGAAATTGCTCTTTGCTAAGAAGCATTTTCTTCCCCTTTTTGACCATTTTAATTGAAAACAATCACAGTAAGATACTTAATTGTTACCCAGAAAGGATTTGATAGAGATAAAAACGGCTTCATGTCTTATCATCATACTATCCATATAGTATTCATTACCACAATAGGCTAAATCTTCCAGTCTAACACAACTATTTGGGTTTGAGATGGTCTTGCACCTGATAAATTGGATGTGCATATTTTTCTTTTTTTCCCAATTATAATTCATGGACATTTTTAGTTAGGGCAAATCAAGCATAAAATGTTAAATGGAAAATACAAACTCTAGAAGCCTTTTTAAACCTTGAATTCCTGCAACTACAGGGTGATCAAATTAAGTTCCTATATACACATCTGTACAAATTCATGCAAACATGCCACAACTCTGACCTACACACGACTAGCCCTTTCTAGGTAATACTCATAGGGCCAGTTTCCTAGACCAATATTAAGTCTACCCCTGGACTAAAAACCAGCTCAACGGAGAATATATACATTTTCCAGTTTCTTATCTGAAATATTAATACACCTGCCCAGATTGATACATTGGAAGAGATCTACAGTTCTGTAACAGTGCTGCCTATACAATTGTGTTGTCGACTAGGCTGTGAAGTCCAACACGGGACCAGGGGAGAATCTACGCAACTCCCTGTGGCACACTGGGGACACCAGTGACCAGGTGAAGCTGCTGTGGAAAGACGCCCGCAATGTGGGCTGGAAGGACAAGACTTCCTACCGCTGGTTCTTGCAACACAGGCCCCAAGATGGCTACATAAGGTAGTACGCTGCTATCAGACACACCTCATAGGCGTCTGATGGCTTTTGGTGCAGTTTGCCATCAATGACCTTCTCCTTTCATAATACATTAAAGGCCCAGTGCAGTCAAAAACGTGATTTTCCTGTATTTTATATATATTTACACACTATGGGGTTGGAATAATACTGTGAAATTTATGATAATACCCTTTTAGTGTAAGAGCTTTTTGAAAAGACCGCCTGAAACTTCCGCCTGTTTTGGTGGGAGGGAGTGTTAGCCTTCCATGGTGACATCACCATGCGGTAAATTAGTTAATAGACCAATAAGAGTTCCAATCCTCTCTGCCAATAAAAGCAAATGTTCAATTTTCCCCTCCCCACTCAAACCACTCCCAGACAGTCCTAGCTCAATTCTTGCTTGAGAAATTGCTCTTTGCTAAGAAGCTATTTTTGTTAATTTTTTTTACCATTTTAACAGAAAACAATCACAGTAAGCTATTTAATTGTTACCCAGAAATTATTTGATATTGAGATAAAAAACGGCTGCATTCGAACTTTAAATTACAATTTGTGGCATTGTGTACAACTGATTGGACTGAAAACATTTGATAAGATATTCATATTTTTCCTTTTTGTGACCACATACTGTTGAACTTGAACAACATGAAATTACTATCATGAATGTTTTCTATCATCATCATACTATCCATATGGTATTCTTTACCACAATAGGTTACATCGTCCAGTCGTAACACAACTGTTCTGGTTTGAGATGGTCTTAAGTTGGCTGCATTAACACAGATTGGTGAAAATACAAATAATTGGGCAAAAGATCAGAATTGAACTGCCTGTGTAATTGCAACCTTTGTCAGATTTTGGAGTTCCTAACTGGTCTCGATCTATGCATGTGTGTGTCATGTTCAGGGTGCGTTTCTATGAGGGTCCTCAGATAGTGGCAGACACAGGTACCATCATAGACACCACCATGAGAGGAGGCAGACTGGGTGTCTTCTGCTTCTCCCAAGAGAACATCATCTGGGCTAACCTACGCTACCGCTGCAATGGTGAGCAGCACACTAATGCCACCCCCCACCCCACTTTATTAGAATACCCTTCTAACAAGCAGGAAGTAGAGGAGGGTGGGGACCATAGGGAATCAATTAGGGAAGTATTGCCTTGCAGCATCCCGATAATATAATTCCTGTATTGAGAAATGGATGATACTGGTCTCTGACTAAAGAGGAACTACATTTACTTGTGTTTCGTGCCTGCTTCTATCCATTCACATTGTCATGAAGTGATACTGTGGCTGCATTTACAGTGCCTTCAGAAAGTATTCATACCCCATTTACTTATTCCACATATTGTTGTGTTACAGCCCGAATTCAAAATTGATTAAATATATTTTCCCCCTCACCCATCTACACACAATACCCCATAATGACGAAGTGAAATTATGTTTGCAGATTTTTTTATTTATTATTGAAAATGAAATACAGAAATATTTAATTTACATAAGTATTCAAACCCCAGTCAATACTCTGTAGAAGCACCTTTGGCGGTGATTACAGCTTTGAGTCGTCTTGGGTATGTCTGTATCAGCCTCCATTCTTCCTTGCAGAGTTTCTCAAGCTCTGTTAAGTTAGATGGGGAGTGGCGGTGAACAGCAAACTTCAAGTCTTTCCACAGATTCTCAATGGGATTCAAGTCTGGGCTTTGGCTGGGCCACTCAAGGACTTTCACATTCTTGTTCTGAAGCCATTCCAGCGTTGCTTTGGCTGTATGCTTGTAAATCTTCGCCCTAGTCAAAGGTCGTTTGCAATCTGAAGCCAGTGGCGGTCGGTGCCGTTTAAGATGAGGGAGGATGATTCTTTTTTTATTAGCATGGCCTTATTTCTATTAGAGCATATTGGATGACTGTCATTCATATTCCATTCACCCAGCTCAATGTAACATCAATAGGTTTAGGCTACTTACTACATGATACTCACATTGTCCCTATACCCATCATGAGGTTGCTACAACCTAGCCTATGAATGAAAGTTTACAACATAGGTGCACAGATAGAGAGAAATGTGTGTAATCAAAGTGACAGACATTGACACCTTCAATACTGCCTTGCATAATCCTGCCTGCATCTAGCTGATCTAGGGTGTAATCATTAGTCAAAAAGTTGCAAACGAGAGTTTCTATTCAACAAATTCAGGTATGTTTATCCCTGTTTCTTTCCGTTTAAGAATCGGCTGAATGAATACACCCCTGATCACACGCAAATACAGTTGATCCCTTTGATCGTTGGATAATTCCTTCTCGCATCTACGCGCTCTCCTCCTCTCACCTTTTCCCTTAGCTTTTTTTCACCTTTTCGACATCAGTGCACAACACATCAGCTGTCTTCCATACCGATCACTACAAACCATTTCTGTATGGACGTCGCTTTGTATAAGGGGGCATGCTGAAACAGGAAAGGGCCTTCCCCAAACTGTTGCCACAAAGTTGGAAGCACAGAATCGACTAGAATGTCATTGTATGCTGTAGCATTAAGATTTCCCTTCACTGGAACTAAGGGGCCTAGCCCGAACCATGAAAAACAGCCCCACCCAGACCATTATTCCTCCTCCACCAAACTTTACAGTTGGCACTATGCATTGGGGCAGGTAGCGTTTTCCCAGATTTGTCCGTCGGACTGCCAGATGGTGAAGCGTGATCCATCACTCCAGAGAACGTGTTTCCCCTGCTCCAGAGTCCAAATGGCGGCGAACTTTACACCACTCCAGCCGATGCTTGGCATTGCTTATGGTGATCTTAGGCTTGTGTGCGGCTGCTCGGCCATGGAAACCCATTTCATGAAGCTCCTGACGAACAGTTCTTGTGCTGACATTGCTTCCAGAGGCAGTTTGGAACTCGGTAATGATTGCTGCAACCGAAGATAGAGGATTTTTACGCGCTTCAGCACTCAACGGTCCCGTTCTGTGAGCTTGTGTGGTCTACCACTTCGCGGCTGAGCCGTTGTTGCTCCTAGACGTTTTCACTTCACAATAACAGCATTTACAGTTTGACTAACTGACTTGTTGGAAAGGTGGCACCCTATGACGGTGCCACGTTGAAACTCACTGAGCTCTTCAGTACGGGCCATTCTACTGCCAATGTTTGACTATGGAGATTGCATGGATGTGTGCTAGATTTTATACGCCTGTCAGCAACGCGTGTGGCTAAAATAGCTGAAGCCACTAATTTGAAGGTGTGTCCATATACTTTTGGCCATGTTGTGTAGCTACTAGAACTAACGTTTTAGTAAACCCGCTACAATCATGTAGTACAGTGTACAGTTAGCAAGCAGTTTAGCATTTACACCGGCGGGCCCCGGTGGCAATAAATTAATAAAACCAAAAACGTACCTTGACTTGGAAGCGTTCTTGTGTTGGATAGCCATAGTAAGCTAGGTAACATAGCATCCCTCTCTGTTTCAGCCGGGTGTTTGAGTAGGCTAAACTAGCTAGCTGCATTCGCTAGCTAAGTACAGTGGGGGAAAAAAGTATTTAGTCAGCCACCAATTGTGCAAGTTCTCCCACTTAAAAAGATGAGAGAGGCCTGTAATTTTCATCATAGGTACACGTCAACTATGACAGACAAATTGAGATTATTTTTCTCCAGAAAATCACATTGTAGGATTTTTTATGAATTTATTTGCAAATTATGGTGGAAAATAAGTATTTGGTCACCTACAAACAAGCAAGATTTCTGGCTCTCACAGACCTGTAACTTCTTCTTTAAGAGGCTCCTCTGTCCTCCACTCGTTACCTGTATTAATGGCACCTGTTTGAACTTGTTATCAGTATAAAAGACACCTGTCCACAACCTCAAACAGTCACACTCCAAACTCCACTATGGCCAAGACCAAAGAGCTGTCAAAGGACACCAGAAACAAAATTGTAGACCTGCACCAGGCTGGGAAGACTGAATCTGCAATAGGTAAGCAGCTTGGTTTGAAGAAATCAACTGTGGGAGCAATTATTAGGAAATGGAAGACATACAAGACCACTGATAATCTCCCTCGATCTGGGGCTCCACGCAAGATCTCACCCCGTGGGGTCAAAATGATCACAAGAACGGTGAGCAAAAATCCCAGAACCACACGGGGGGACCTAGTGAATGACCTGCAGAGAGCTGGGACCAAAGTAACAAAGCCTACCATCAGTAACACACTACGCCGCCAGGGACTCAAATCCTGCAGTGCCAGACGTGTCCCCCTGCTTAAGCCAGTACATGTCCAGGCCCGTCTGAAGTTTGCTACAGTGCATTTGGATGATCCAGAAGAGGATTGGGAGAATGTCATATGGTCAGATGAAACCAAAATAGAACTTTTTGGTAAAAACTCAACTCGTCGTGTTTGGAGGACAAAGAATGCTGAGTTGCATCCAAAGAACACCATACCTACTGTGAAGCATGGGGGTGGAAACATCATGCTTTGGGGCTGTTTTTCTGAAAAGGGACCAGGACGACTGATCCGTGTAAAGGAAAGACTGAATGGGGGCAATGTATCGTGAGATTTTGAGTGAAAACCTCCTTCCATCAGCAAGGGCATTGAAGATGAAATGTGGCTGGGTCTTTCAGCATGACAATGATCCCAAACACACCGCCCGGGCAACGAAGGAGTGGCTTCGTAAGAAGCATTTCAAGGTCCTGGAGTGGCCTAGCCAGTCTCCAGATCTCAACCCCATAGAAAATCTTTGGAGGGAGTTGAAAGTCCGTGTTGCCCAGCGACAGCCCCAAAACATCACTGCTCTAGAGGAGATCTGCATGGAGGAATGGGCCAAAATACCAGCAAGTGTGTGAAAACCTTGTGAAGACTTACAGAAAACGTTTGACCTGTGTCATTGCCAACAAAGAGTATATAACAAAGTATTGAGAAACTTTTGTTATTGACCAAATACTTATTTTCCACCATAATTTGCAAATTCATAAAAAATCCTACAATGTGATTTTCTGGATTTTTTTTCCTCATTTTGTCTGTCATAGTTGACGTGTCCCTATGATGAAAATTACAGGCCTCTCTCATCTTTTTAAGTGGGAGAACTTGCACAATTGGTGGCTGACTAAATACTTTTTTCCCCCACTGTAAGTGAAAAAAATATGAAACATAGCTAGTTCTTGCTCTCGCTTCTCTTTAATTTTTGAAGAAATTAATTTGTTCAAAACTGTTCAACTATATTCTCTCTCTCTTTGAGTCAACTACTCACCACATTTTATAGCTAGTTGTAGCTTATGATTTCAGTACTATACTGAACAAAACATGTAGTGTTGGTCCAGTGTTTCATGAACTGAAATAAAAGATCCTAGAAATTTTCCATATGCACAAAAAGCTTATTTCTCATCTTTTGTGCACAAATTTGTTTACATCCCTGTTAGTGAGCAATTCTCTTTTGCCAAGATAATCCATCCACCTGACAGGTGTGGCATATCAAGAAGCTGATTAAACAGCATGATCATTACACAGGTCCACCTTGTGCTGGGGATAATAACAATTTTGTCACCCAACACAATGCCACAGACGTCTCAAGTTTTGAGGGAGCGTGAAATCGGCATGCAGACTGCAGGAATGTCCACTAGAGCTGTTGCCAGAGAACTGAATGTTCATTTCTCTACGTCGTTTTAGAGAATTTGGCAGTACGCCCAACCGGCCTCACAACCGCAGACCACGTGTAACCACGCCAGCCCAGGACCTCCACATCCGGCTTCTTCACCTGTGGGATCGTCTGATACCAGCCACCCGGACAGCTGATGAAACTGAGGAGTATTTCTGTCTGTAATAAAGCCCCTTTGTGGGGAAATACCCATTCTGATTGGCTGGACCTGGCTCCCCAGTGAGTGGGCCTGGCTCCCAGGTGGCTTGGCCTGTGCCATCCCAGGCCCACCGATGGCTGCGCCCCCTGCCCATACATGTGAAATCCATAGATTAGGGCCTAATGAATTAATTTCAATTGACTGATTTGACTATATGAACTGTACCTCAGTAAAATCGTTGAAATTGTTGCGTTTATATTTTTGTTCAGTATAGATTTATTCGCTGATCCTGTGATTGGGTGGACAACATGTCAGTTCATGCTGCAAGAGCTCTGATAGGTTGGAGGACGTCCTCCAGAAGTTGTCATAATTACTGTGTAAGTCTATGGAAGGGGGTGATAACCACGAGCCTCCTAGGTTTTGTATTGAAGTCAATGTACCCAGAGGAGGATGGACACTAGCTGTCCTCCGGCTACACCATGGTGCTACCCTACAGAGTGCTGTTGCAAAACGTGAATATATTTAGTATAGATTTATCTAAAAAGGATAACTTTATTAATGTTTCACTATTTTTATGAAAGTCACTGAGGAGGATGGTCCTCCTCTGAGGAGACTCCACTGTCTGAAGTGGGCTCTCATCAAGAATTGGCCTGTATTTGGCTCCATTCACTGTTCCCGCTATCCTTACCAGTCTCCCAGTCCCTGCCGCTGAAAAGCATCCCCATAGCATGATGCTACCACCCCCATGCTTCACGGTAGGGATGGTGTTAGATGGGTGATGAGCTGTGCCTGGTTTTCTCCAGACATAGCGCTTTGCATTCAGGCCAAAGAGATTTGTCTCATCAGACCACATAATCTTTTGCCTTATAATCTGTCTTTCACAAGCCTTTTTGCAAACTCCAAGCATGCTGTCATGTGTGGCTTCCATCTGGCCACTCTCCCATAAAGCGCAGATTGGTTGAGTGCTGTAGAGACTGTTGTCCTTCTGGCAGGTTCTCCCATCTCAGCCAAGGAACTTTGTAGTTCTGTCAGAGTGATCATTGGGTTCTTGGTCACCTACCTGACCAAGGTCCTTCTTGCCTGGTTGCTGAGTTTGGTCGGATGGCCAGCTCTAGGCAGTCTGGGTAGTTCCATATGGAGACCACTGTGCTCTTGGAAACTTTCAACACTCCAGAAATGTTTATACCCTTCTCCAGATATATACCTAATCTTGGAGATCTACAGACAGTTCCTTGGACTTCATGGTACAGTTTCTGCTCTGACATGCATGGTCAACTGTGGGACCTTATATAGACATGTGTTTCTTTCTAAATCATGTCCAAACAATTGAATTGGCCACAGGTGTACTCCAATCAAGTTGTAGCGACGTCAAGGATGATCAAAGGACATTAGATGCACCTGAGCTCAATTGGGAGCACTGTATTGTATTTCATTTTCACTAAATTTGCTAAGAGAGAAGAATATCTAATCCATTTTGAAAAACAAAATGTGGAATAAGTCAAGGGGTATGAATACTTTCAGAAGGCATACAGTATATACAGTAGACTGCATTTAAATGACCTCTTGGTACACATACAACTAGTTTGAGGCTTTAGAGAGAGAAGTTTGAGGCGTAATTGTATTGGTCCATTGGATGATAGGTATTGTATTGTAGACATTTGGATGTACTTTACAGACACCAACTAACTTACATGACTCATGTAGGTAAGCCTATTGCCATGCAAGGATTCCATATTGACTTATCATATCTCCCTCTCCCTTTAGATACAATCCCTGAGGACTTTGACTCTTACCAAGTCCAACAGGTTCAGCTGCAGTTCTAATAGAGCATGCACACACATCTGCCCAAACGAAGACTGGTAGGACATTCCATCTACAACCCCAACATTCTGGAACGCATGGCTTCCAGCTGAACAGTGCATGGTTGCGTTTGTAATTGCACCCTATCTCCTATATAGTGCCCTACTTTTGATTAAAGCCTATATAGGGCCCAATTCGGACTTAGGAAATTATGCCTTTCTTACGCACGCCTTTCCTACACACTTCTCAGTAGTTAGTATTCAGGCTTTGCAGGAATGCTTCCCTTGCGTGCGCTGAATAAATGTAATTCAACCGCTGAAAACCCTCCTACTTGCTGGCCAACGTATTTTCTCGTGGAGTTTTCATTCAATAGGGGTTTCAGTACATTTATCTTAAGCCATCCCTTTAAATATGGTGTACCTTTGAATTAGCCTACGTCTTTTTTTAATATTGTCAACTGTTACTAATGATGGCCATGACAGCGTTTACAGAGGAAGCAAATGCAGGTGAACAAAACAAGGTAATTAAATGGAATGATAATGTAGGCTGTACCAACTGAAGGGAACTAACAGTAAATTGGCAGTTGAATATGTGTTGTTATTAAGCTTACTGACGGTCGATACTGATAGTGGCTAATATTTAACATGATAGAAATAGGAAACAGAAAGTCGAGGTAGCCTATAATTAAGACATTCGAGAGTGCCCATCTCTGCAAGTTAAAAGGCTGTACAAATACTTTGGGAAAGTTGATATGCTTCCGTTTGCTGCCATATGACTGGTTTCACACTTGTCTGCAGCAATTGGAAGGTAAATTATATCTAAAACAAGTGTAATTTATATTTACAGTTCCCTTATCCAGACAGATTACTAATTTAACTAGCGCTTATCAAGTTGTAAACTACAGTGCATTGAGAATGGTGTTATTTCTACCGGAAAAAATAAAGTAGATGCTTTTTCAACTTGGAACCGGTAGGTTCGCTAGACCTCATTCATTGTTTCCTCATGTATAAAAGTGGTAGAATTATTAGGGAATTAAGTCATGGTCAGAATACGGCGTATCTATCGCCACACCATCATTTATTCGATCTCCACCCAAAACGAATAGCAGGTGAATAGCATGCTATTGTCATGCTTAAGTTCAAGGTCAGAATACGCATAGAGAGAAAAGTGCATAAAAAGGGAATAACGTTCCATTTAAGCACACTTAACTCGGGTCGGAATCGGGCCCATATTGAATAGTGTGCCATTTTTAGAAGGACCCTGTGAGATGTGACTCAGCAAAATGGAGGCTGCCATATTGGTCACCACCAGCAATGACAGCATTTTCCTGTCTGACATTCGCTCCCCAATAATTCCAGTTCTCAGGGGACTTTTCTTTTTTATGTGTACTACTACTCTGTCAACAATATAGAAATGTGAAGATAGCTGTATGTGTTTTGAATAATCAGGGTGTGGCCAGAAAATGTGTATTACATTGTGAGGGGACTATAACCTTTTTGGGGGGGGATATGCATTAGATTACATGTGATCAATTACAACTGTTAAGAGTGCCCTAGGAATAAATGTTGAACTACACAACTGTTCTCGGCTTTAGCATATACTGAATATATAGGACTTACCTTTAGGTCAAAGCTGTAATGAAAAATGGAATGCTTTACACTTTCTCCTCACTACTAACTAGACAGAAACTGTGAAGTCATGAGCAACTGCTTTGAATACTGAACAAAAGTTTGGGACTGAAATCACAAACATGCACAGGTATTCAAAATAATCTTTTAAAAACACATACAGAAATACAGATGACAAAATATAACATAACAAGGACAATAAAATATATATAGTTCAAACGTCATGCATGTCCACACTTAGTAAACCTTGGTGAAAATGACATTGGACAGTTTTAATTGATATATTCTGCAAATCGAGACTATGTACAGAGAAAAGATGCCTCCCACATTCAGGTTTCATCTTACAAAGGGATCACATAAAGGAGTTTCACATAGCAACAAATAATTACTATACATCTCAGAACATGATTTACAGGACAATGGTTAAATATAATGTGATACCCACTTAAAGCTGACCAGGGAATTCCTATAAGAAGAGATTTTCTTTACATTACGAACTGGAATACTTGCCAAAAGTGGCATTTTAGGGTACCCAACTTCAACTGCACTGTTCTAGAGGAGGAAATTATTTAGATTCATATTAATCCATTTAAATTATGGGACAGAAAATATAATTATCCCTTTCATTCACATGAGTGAAAGTTCCTTTAGTTTAGAGAATTTATGGTGACAGGTACTCTGGCAGTGACAGTAAGCTTAGTGAGAATCAAGATACTGCTCACCAATTCCCACAAGGCTGAATTCCTTTCATGCTCACTTCAGTCAGTGTATTGCAATAATTACTGTCAAAACAGGAGTCCACTTCACGTTATTTGATTGCCATTTCCCATGCATATGCAGAGCAGGATAGTACATCTATTGACAAATAAGTATACATTCTGAGTGCTATTCCTTTTTAACATGATGGGAAAACAAGCTGCATTGGAATAAGCCCTTTCTGGTGTTGCATTACAAAATAAGCAATATGCTTCCAAATTGTTACAGGCTAAAAAAAAAGAGAATATGCTTTCTAGGGTACAACAGTCAGCATTGACAGAACAGTCACTGTTCACATTCACAAGGCAGCTGGCCACAAATAAAGTGCAAAAGCAACAGAATAAGAACAACACATATAATATAAACACGTTTGTCATAAACCTCACTTAAAATATGTTTTATGCAGTCACAGTAACTGATATCAGATTAGACTTCATTTGGCAGTCATGATGACACATGCTTCAATTTATGTTAGCTAGCTAGCCATAGTTCATATTTATACTGCTGAAGTCAACATGATAGTGTTGAATCATTTGCAATAAACCAGCATCAACAATAGGGACTGCTTATAACATCAGTCATGTCATGCAACTGACAGTAAGCTCTCTTGACAGTCAAGTCAAGTTTTACTGCCAATACAGAGTACAGTTGCAGTCTAATATATTGGCACCCTTGCACTTTACAATGGAGCAGAATGTTCTGTTTTCTCTTTTAAAAACAGGTTGAATGGTTGCAACTTACCACAGGTGAGATAAATTACAACGTAGACAAGAATCACTTGCCTCCAACCAAACTAATTAGAATTTTAAGTTCTAAAACAAATACACGTGTGAACACAAACAGTTTTTTCAATCTCAGCTTATTTGAGAATAAATAATGAATCGTTCAAGGGTGTCAATATATTTGATCGCAACTGTATAAGTGCAATTTTTAAGTAGCTAGTGAAACGTATTACTCTTGCCAGATCGTTAAAGTGTCAGTTCACTCCAAAATCAACAGAAGTTTTTATATTTCAAAAGTGGTCTTATGTCAAAATGAGTCCATCCCCAGGCCTTATGTTCTGTAGATCCAGATATTCAGGGTACGCTTCAGTCTTAAATGAATGGAAACGATGCGTACTGTCTTATTCCATCATGGTTGTAATCTTTGGCTTTCAGTTTACACTTGAAGCCCAGTAATTTGGGTGGTCATTTGATGACAGAAAGTTTATCAGTGCATCAAACGAAATACAGTATACATGCTATAATCACAAACTATTGGGATTTTATCCACATCCATCATGTTGATGTCATCCTTGTAGGAGAATGTGACAAGGATGTGAATTTACAAGTTCAGGATACGAGTTTAGTTAACCTGCAAGGAAGCCGGTTAGAGTTGGAGGATTTGTTGCCATTGTTTTTGATTAGGCTATAACTCTTCCTGGATCAGGAAATTCCCGTAAGTTGTCTCACAAACTCATGAGCCCGCATTTTGAAACAGATTCATCTCAACATTAGACAACTTTGAGGTCTGAAATCTTCAGACAGACTTTGGAGTGAACTACTACTTAACTACAGAACACTTGGCATCTGATGTGTTATGAAGACGGGATTCTCAACAGGTTCGCATTATAGGAACAACTGCCAATTTGACTCACACACAGTGAGGTGCTAAAGCAAGTAACAGCCAATTCAACTGAATAAGAAGTGGATGGTGGGAAAAGGGACTCAATTAAAATGCTTTTGGTTCATGTCATTCAGTGAAACAGACAAATTCCAAGACAATGTTACACAAATACATTCTTATTTCAGCAATGAGCATTATGCAGAAATGGAGGTAACACAGTCCTCTGAAAAGTAAACCGTTTAAGTGAATTATTAGGAAAGATTGACACATGCATCCTTTTTGACTGGGCGTTTCACTGTTTTTACATTGTAGAGTATTATTTAAATCAAACCTTCTTAGCAAATGAAGGCCTTTTTCTGAGGTTCACTTTCATTTTTGACACGCAGTCAATTTGTTTCAGCTATAGCCTATGTACAGGATGTACAAAATGTTCTGACAAAGAAAAATGAACACAAAAACATTTGTTTGTAGATAATTAATCTGAATGGCACTAAGTATCATACTTGTGTATTGCAGTTTGGCTCAAATAAAGTGAAGTTTTTTGTAGAACTATGCATATACATACATATATACACATATATACAGTGGGGAGAACAAGTATTTGATACACTGAAGATTTTTCAGGTTTTCCTACTTACAAAGCATGTAGAGGTCTGTCATTTTTATCATAGGTACACTTCAACTGTGAGAGACGGAATCTAAAACAGAAATCCAGAAAATCCCATTGTATGATTTTTAAGTAATTAATTTGCATGACATAAGTATTTGATCACCTACCAACCAATAAGAATTCCGGCTCTCACAGACCTGTTAGTTTTTCTTTAAGAAGCCCTCCTGTTCTCCACTCATTACCTGTATTAACTGCACCTATTTGAACTCGTTACCTGTATAAAAGATACCTGTCCACACACTCAATCAAACAGACTCCAACCTCTCCACAATGGCCAAGACCAGAGAGCTGTGTTAGGACATCAGGGATAAAATGGTAGACCTGCACAAGGCTGGGATGGGCTACAGGACAATAGGCAAGC